AAGCAGCAACACCCCGATCTCAGCTTGCTGTAAAGCTGGAAAACAAGTTTTTCTATTCCATATGTTGACAAATCAAATTCTTTAGGTGATTTTCTTTTTCTGTTTTTCTTTTTTTTTATATACATGTATATATGAATGTATGTTCGCTTATGGAGCATAGAATATTATCATTATGTTTAGAGATCACTGTAGGACTCGGAAATGCATAGCTTTTAAAGTTTTCACTAAGAATAAGGGTTGGGGTTAAAACTAAAATTTATTTGGCTATTCAAGTTGATCACAAAATCTTTACAGAATGAACTTCTATCATTATATTTTTGTTTTGTTTATTATAATATTTTTGCAAAGTGTACGCCTTAAAGTCATGTGTGGGGGAGGGTCCCAAAGGGGAGGGGGTTTAGATAAGCTCGGCAAATAAAATGCAAGGAGAACGAGAAATAGAGGCAATGCCAACAAATGGGGAAAAACTAACTAACGTTAGTCGAGTGCAGCAATGTGTGGCGTACGTTTCTATGTTTGTGTGTGTGTCAGCAACTTGTGGAATGCCATTCCACTGGAAAATGGAACAACAAGAAACATTTATGTTATGTTATGCCTTATGTACTCATGAATGTTCATGTGTATATTGTGGCACATGCGTCATTCAGCAGCATGCAGCATGCTGCATCAATCTGTGTGCATGCACACACATGCATGTGTTATTCATAAATTTATGGGACAAAAATAAAGTTGCAATAAAAAAGAGAGACAGAGAGACTCGGTGAGGGAGAGAGATAGAGGCAGGCAGGCACATCCGACTTTTTCATTCATAAAAATTATACATAAAGAACAACAAAAGAGGAGGGAAGAAAGCAAGAGCAACATGCACGCACACGCTCTCGATAAAGCAATGCAAAGTGCTTATGTGTGAGTGTGAGTGCATTGAGCGCCACCTTTTTTATACGAGAGATAAAAGCTGAACAAAAAGAAGGTAAAAGCACAAAAAAAAAAACCAAAATAAATACGCGACGGCGCCGACAGTGTTGACTGCGCTGCTTGCGTCGCCGCCACTGCGTGTTGTATTGATTGGATTGGATGTGCATGTATGTGTGTGTATCTATGGGAGGCAAGTGTGCGTGCCAACGTGCTTGTCTGTGTGGGTGCATTCCTGGCATAAGCACAATAACGGGCAAGAGAATAGATCACTTTACATAAATAAAGAAGATGTTTGACCAGATTTCAAACAAATATTAATTATCTAAGTTATTTTTTGCACTATTATTATTTTTCCAACTATTTTATCAGAACATTTTTTAAAAAATCAATCTCTTTCGTGGTTTGTGATAAATAACTACGTTTTTATATTATATTTACATTAAAATAACCCAAGCTTTACTTAGTTAAGAGCAGTTTTATTACGTTGCCCCGTGACTGTATGTAAAGGTCGCGCATTGATAACAGAAAAAAAAGCCAGCACGAGTGCGTGTTTGTTTATGTATGTGTCTGTGTGTGCAGAGGTCATTTGCTTAGAATCGGTCACATGTCTACGCAAACAACAACAAACAACACGAACCAGAAAGCTAGCAAGTTAGGTAAAATTGTTGCACATTCTACTGGTAAATGTCTTCTCTCTCCCTCTAGAGAGAGCGAGGGCGAGAGAGGGCGCGCGAGAGAGAAAGCGATGAGCTCTCTTCTCTTATTGGATGCAGGCCTAGCACAATAACAACCACAAAAAAAATAAACGCAACGTCAACGAACTGCAACTTGACATTTATTTGCATACATTGGAGATTTTAGTCTGAAAACGAAACAAAAACAATAAACACACTAGCAGCGCCACCAACCACACAGATGTGACGCATGCTCAGCAATTACAGTTAGCCGTCACAAAAGTTTGACAGCCACTGCAGCATGCATATGCATACGCTCATATATTATACATATATCGAATTCCAGTGAATCCAAGATCCCAAAAAAAAAGAAAAAAGAAAAATAGCAAACGGTGGCAGAATTTGCGTACCCACGTTTCTACGTTTCGCCTTTCGGTTCCTGGAAAAGCGCCACAGGCCAAGAAATCGCCTGAGAAATAAACAAACTACAAATTATATGCAAAACTTGATATTTTAAATACCCTTTCTATAGGTTCAAATTATAAAATAGGGATTTATTATTTAATATTTGAAAAATATTTACAATTTTGTATTAATGTTGTCAGCATGATACCAGCATTAATTTAATAATAGCATATTTAATGCACCAACCATTATTGAAGACACTAAAAGCAGGCTGTGTCAGCTTTGTTGTCGTTACAAAATTCTGCTCGAAAGCTACATACCCTCCTTTCACAAGGGTACGAAAACCGTAGAATGGGTGGGGATTTCCAGAGGGGGTAATCGTAGGGAGACTCTGGAGAGAAAAGAAAGAGTGAAGAGGAACATGTAAATGCTGGAATGCCGGAATGCGTTGATCTTCCGTTTGCTCCTGCTGTCCCAACTCATCTTAGCTTTCATAGCTCTCATAGCAGACAGATGGTGTTAAAGATGGCCATAACTTGAATTTCTCTATAATTTTAAGGAATTCTATGATCCTATTGCTAAATACTTTGGCATCTAGTTGCGGATAATAAATTTAATCTTGAAAACTAGTTTAAATTCCAGGCAACATTAATTCTCCCAAGAAAATATGTATTTAATCCATCTTGGGTAACCGGAGATCGGAGGTATGGTTGGTTGCCATAACTTGAGTTGTTTATGTGTCATATTGATGGCGCCTGGAAGCTGTGTTTATTCTGCGAAAGAAATCGACACTTTTTGAACTATAAATATAACAAAAATATATAAAGCTTTTAAATATATAATAAATAAATTAGGTTAATTCTTAGATACCTGAGCAAAGTACACAAACTAATCGTATTTGTAGAATTTGCGCATTGATTCCCGCTTAAATGTAACTTTCTTCTTGATCACAGTTTGACATTTACTTGGGAGGTTTGATAGCTAATTAAGAAGACCATTCATGAAAGAGATAGCGGAGAGTTGTAGAGTGTGTAGAGAGTGAGAATCGAAGAATTGGAACGGCTAATTAAGAAGAGTGCCAAACACACAAAAGCCAAAAGAAGTAATAACAATAACAGCAAAGGGGAGAGAATGGGAGAAAACGAAATGAGGCCCAGCAGCCGTAGCTCCACAATTCTCCTCACTCTTTGCTTCTCCACCATATGCTCTTTACTCTTCATTCTCCACTCTCTGCTCTCCTTTTTTGTTTGTTTGTTGTTTGTGCTTTTTTTTTTAGGTTGTTGTTCTCCTCTCCTCCTTGCTATTATTGTTATGGTTGTTGTTTTAAGAAGTTGGCGGCGACTGGAGTGAAATTACTTCCAAGAAATATAAAGACGATATTAAATGTGCAACATTCCAGGCTTCGTTTGCCGCCTTGTGCGCCTGCCTGCCTTGCCGTTCGTTCATTCTTGTTTTTCGCTCTCGCTCTCATTTCGATTCTCCTTGTTTTTTTCTTCTTTTGGACTTTTGGAAGATCTTGGAAATTTTTCCCGCTTTATGGTTGCATTGCCGTTATGACAACAGGATGTTTATAAAACTAAAAAATCGGGTAGTATAATTATTGCCAAAAATCAATCTCTACAAATACAAATCATTGTAAATTGTGTCTCTGAATTTAATTGGAAAAATAGAATTAGCTTGAGTTTTTGGGTTTGTCAAGATCTGTTATACTATTATACATATGCATAAAGATGTGAAAGCAATAATTTTGTGAAGGAATCATTTCCGACCCTATAAATCATATATATTCTTGATCAGCATCCATAGGTTACATCATTAAAATTTTAAAAAATTAAAAAATTTAATATTTTGACATTTTAATTTGGGTATGCAGATTTATTAACCTAATAACAACTAATATAGGAACGTTTCCCGAATTAAAATTAATGCTATTAGGGCTTAGTTATGATTATTTTAATCTTTGAATATCGAAAAATAATAATAGTAAAAAAATATCGACAAATATCAATTCAAAGAATGCGAATATTTTAAGTTTTGGCATGGTCGATATTATAATTCAATCGCAAAGTGAAGGGTATATAAACTTTGGCTTCCTGAAGTTAGTTTAATTTCTTGTTTATTTAGATAATTGGTGGATCTTCTCGGGGGTTGAGATGATGTCCCTAAAATCTGGTAGTTGCTATGGCTGCTCTTATTTATCCTATTATCATGCACTTTATCACTTTTCTTCTTCCCTCGCCATGCTTTCACCTTGAATGTTACCCTTTTGTATTGCTCACAACCACAAACACCACACACTCCCAAACACTAGATAAACCACACATCTTGGGAATTCCATAAGTTACTAAAGGACATAATAATAGTTTATAAAAGTTAGATTTTCTTTGGTTTTATTGAAATTTCTATAAAACGAAATAATATAAAATATATATTAAATGTAACGAATAACTATCCTTTAAAATTCTAAAATAATATATATTTTTAGGAAGTTTATTATGTCCTTTAGTTTAACATTGTCATAATCGGGAAACACCCATTATTTCTGCCGACCATTCCTCTTACCAACAACAATTTCCGTCATTGTCAAAAAAGAATATGTGCATATACATATATTATATAATATACATAAGTAATCCAAACCCAGATCACTCGTAAATTCTCACGCTCGCTCGCTCAAATCGCTCTTTAGATGTTAGTTGCGCTGCTCTCTGTTTCTCTCTTTTTCTATGGAAAATTTCTCTTTAACCGACTGCTTTTTTGTCTCTTTTATAACTTTTATTTATTTATTCGCATATTTTTGTTTATTTATCAACTTCATTTTACCATTCTACTCACTCTTTTTGCTTCTGCCCTTTGCTTTTCCAAATTTCCTATTGTTTTTGGACAACTATCATTACTTTACATACTATCCACAACTTACTTACTTACTACTACTATTTTTTGTTTCTTTTTTGTGTTTTTGTGTTTTTCTTGTTCTTGTGTGTTTTTACGCTATTTTCTTCACAGTGTTACGACATCAAAAATCTTAATAAGCGGCATACCGATGCAAACACGATTCGAAGACATCGAACCGCTACTGAAGCCCTATGGCATCGTCAAACAGTGTGAGGCTATTTCTAGTAAGGATCAAAATACTCAAACAGTACATATAACATTCGAAAATCCTGAGCAGGCGCAAAGGTATATACCCAAATAATAAAACTACTCATCTACTACCTCTCTTTCTCTTTCTGTCTCTCTCTCTCTCTCTCTCTGTCTCTCTCCAACCGAATCTCGACTTAACACGAGACCAGAATCCCAGATATTCCATGAGTGTTCCGATTCTTCGGGTCTCGTGTTAAACGCAGATTTGGAACCTTTGTATATGTTATAAATATCATCATCTCTATGTCAGATTTTGGGGAGCGAGGTCGAGCTGAGCTTTACATAACATATATTATATATATACTCGTATTTTGGGAGCTTTATTTGCATATATATACACATATATATCGGGGTGGATGGGGTTTGTGTGGCTACCTCTCTTCCCATTGTTTAGTGTTTCTTTCAAAATCATCTAATTCTTTCCTATCACTTCCTGTTTTCCCCCCAAACCAAATTCGATCGAAATTATTATTATATTTTATCCTTTGGAGGAAACTGAGAAGTCAGGCGATCAAAATTGGAGAGGGGAAAACTAATGGAAGCTAAATGTTATGAACATATCGAATAGACCTAATCAATACTAATCTGTCTACTTTCTTTTGTTTTCTTCCTCGTACATAGAGCTGCTGGCGGTCTGAACGGGGTCGAGTTTGAGGGCAGCAAGCTGCATGCCGAGCAGCTGGATAAGAACCAGCGCCGCAGCCAGCGCAACCAGCGCAATCCGTATCCGGGTATGCCCGGTCCCGGCAGACAGGCGGATTTCCCGCTGCGCATTCTTGTCCAAAGCGAGATGGTGGGCGCCATCATTGGACGCCAAGGCAGCACCATTAGGACGATCACACAACAGAGCCGTGCTCGCGTCGACGTCCATCGCAAGGAGAATGTGGGCTCGCTGGAGAAATCAATCACGATCTATGGCAATCCGGAGAATTGCACCAATGCCTGCAAGCGCATCCTGGAGGTGATGCAGCAGGAGGCCCTATCCACGAACAAGGGGTGAGTGTGTTTAGACAAGCCAATCTAATTATCAATTATCTATTGATATTCCTATCTTTGCTTTCACAGTGAAATTTGCCTCAAGATACTTGCTCACAACAATCTGATTGGTCGTATCATTGGCAAATCGGGCAATACCATTAAGCGGATCATGCAGGATACCGATACAAAGATCACCGTTAGCTCGATCAATGACATCAACAGCTTCAATTTGGAGCGCATCATTACGGTGAAGGGTTTGATTGAGAATATGTCGCGTGCCGAGAATCAAATTAGCACCAAACTCCGCCAGAGCTATGAGAATGATCTGCAGGCGATGGCACCGCAGAGTCTCATGTTTCCTGGTCTCCATCCCATGGCAATGATGTCGACACCGGGCAACGGCATGGTCTTTAATACGAGCATGCCGTTCCCCTCGTGTCAAAGCTTTGCCATGTCCAAGACACCGGCTAGCGTTGTGCCGCCAGTCTTTCCCAATGACCTACAGGAGACCACCTATCTCTATATACCGAATAATGCTGTTGGCGCCATTATTGGCACCAAGGGCTCGCACATCCGTAGCATTATGCGCTTCTCGAACGCATCCCTTAAAATAGCACCCCTCGATGCCGACAAGCCGCTGGACCAACAAACGGAGCGCAAGGTGACGATTGTTGGCACACCGGAGGGTCAGTGGAAGGCGCAGTATATGATTTTCGAGAAGATGCGCGAAGAGGGTTTCATGTGCGGTACGGATGATGTGCGTCTAACTGTCGAATTGCTGGTGGCCAGCTCTCAGGTAATTGTGATATGTTTTTAAGTCAATTTTACGCTCAAGTCTTAAGCTTTCCTTGACTAGAATCATGGGTTTTATTTATTCTATCCGTATAATAATCCTCTCGTTTTTTCGCTTCTAGGTGGGTCGCATTATTGGCAAGGGTGGCCAAAATGTGCGTGAATTGCAGCGGGTGACGGGCAGTGTGATTAAGCTGCCGGAGCATGCCCTTGCACCGCCGTCTGGCGGCGATGAGGAGACACCAGTACACATCATTGGACCATTCTATAGCGTACAGGTGAGTGATGGTTCATGGCGCCGCAAACGAAACAACATTACAACATTAACTCCTCGCATTTTTAACTGCTCTTTTTCAGTCTGCACAGCGACGCATCCGTGCCATGATGCTGTCAACAAATCCGCCGCCAGTAACCAAAAAACAGAAAGCTGCCAAAGAACAATTGCAACAACAGCAACAGAGCCTAGCGGGCGCTGCCACCAGTGGGGCCCAGCAGCAGCAACAACAGTCGCCATCATCGCAACAGCAGCAGCCGCTGCCGCCGCAATTGCATCATCAGCCTGTGTCCTCGGCGTCGTCATCGTCGACGCCGCCTGCACACCATCAGCAGCAGGCGTCGACGGCAGCGACCTCGCACCAGTTGCAGCAGCAACAGCAGCAGCAGCAGCCATCGCCGCCGCCTCCTGGCAATGCAACTCCTACCGCAGCCCAGCAGCAGCAGTTGGCGAGCTCACAGCAGTAAGGAGGAAATGAATCGCTTAGCAGAGGAGTGGAGAGGTGAAGAAATGAAAGGAGGCACTGCCGCAGCAGCGACAGGGCCAACAATAGCCAAGGCAGGGTTTTCTACGGTTGATACTACCTCCGAAACACAACACAACAACACCCACAATCTACCACCCAAACCATCTACAACAACAAAAAAAAGAAGCCAAACACCAATCATCCACAATTGCAATACCCCTAACTATTACAAAATAGACGCCACCTTTGTGCTGGCACAGGCGACGACAAAAGTAAACCAGGACAAAAAGTACCTGGCAACAGCAGTAACAGAAGCATTTAAGGGAACAGGAATAACTCGTCAGGAAGCGCAAGAAGCTGTACTCGGACATAGCAAAAGAAGATCCACAAGAGCCACACACACATATATGCAGCAGGAATAACAACAGTAACAACAACATTCTTCATTTGCATGCTAAGAAATAAAGAGAAAACGTTAAATGGAAAAAAGCGCTAAAACTATATCGTTCATCAAAAAGTCACCAAACCAGCAGCAACACCCACCCACAGGTATGTGTTGTTGCTCTACGCGCTTCCCGTCCCCTATTTGTTATGTGAACTTTTGTGGCACCGCCCAAAACAGTTTTCCTTTTCAATAGGCTCTCGGGCCAACCCCTCATCCAACCCCAACTGCAACCCCAACCACGACCCCTTGAGATAATCTGAATTTTCAAAAGCAAACTAATTTGAACAAGAACAAAAACAAAAGCAGCAGCATCAGCATCAGCAGCACAAAGTAACTAGAGAGAAAACCCCTACGAATGGAAATGGAAAGATAAAGAAGGAACACTTAGTAGTGTATGCGTTATATTTTTTTTAAATATATTTAAATATAAAAAACGTTTATTTTTAATTACTTTTTTTTTAAACAAAGATTTAGTAAGAGCCTATATTTAAGTAGAAGTGAAGAGAAGAAAGAGCAAAGCGCAGAAGCATGAGATTGAGAATCAGGCAAAAGAATTATAAGAATCGTTTTGTTTGGATCAATTATAACAGAAATGAAAACAACAACAACAACAAATTGTACACAAATTCAAAAGAACCAGAGACATAACTAACCCCCACACAACAATGACAGAAAAGCGTAAAAAAAGAACACACACAATACCCCACATAAATAGAAAACAAAAACAAGAACATGCTCTAGTTGGGAATTATATCCCAGTAGTAGGACAGGTAAAGACGGTTAGGACAGTTCAGTTATGTGCACAATGTGCAGCAGTTGATGCAACTGTTGGCCCAAAAAACCATTCGCTGTTATACCAAGTATAACACAGACCTCAACCCAGACCCAAAAACCCAAACCTAAAAACCACCAAAACCAAACAAAAAACTATATACTACACAACAATCTATGTATACAATATCGTTAAGAGCTGATGAATGAACAGATCGGATCGGATGATTAGCGACTGACTAGGGATGGATAGGGAATAAGGATGTTGGATATGGAAATTGAAAGCCAGCGAGAGCAATGTAACTGTACAGCTGTATAATAGTTTTGGTCGATGCCTGGAAGAGAAAGAGTTGTTTTGTGTTGTGTATTGATACCAGTGTTTATCTCTTCTTTTTTTTGTCGCTGAGGGGAAAGCGTTACAAGGAATTGTTGATTATACTTAGTCCGAAGAATCTGAGAGTTGCAGGAGATATAGCGCAGTAGCTACGACAGCCGAAGCAAGAGCGAGAGCAAGAGATAGTGTTAAAGAAACTATTGTAATGTGTTTGCCTTGAAATGAAAACAAAACAAAACTAAACAAAAACTAACTAGAAATGAAATGAAGGTGCTGAAATGTTAATTTTTTTTAAAGGACGTTACGTTAAGTGTTACGTTATAACGTTTGAGACGCGAGATGAGAGACAAGCTGTTATACATGGATGGGACACTACAAATACATCAGCCAATGAACCCAGATCAAAAACAAAAGAAACCAAGTCCGTAAAAAAATGCATTTCCTAGGGGAACGTAGAATAGTAGAACCCAATTATGACAGTATGACAGTATAACAGTATGACCAAAACCCAACCCAAGTAACTGAATCGGAGCAACAAACAATCAAACTACAATCTTAAAAACCAAGCCAAAACAAGCAACAATAGCAATAGCCCAGTTTTGTGTTGTTTTGAAGCATTTACTACGCCTATTAATTAATTATCTAACTAACTAAATAGCTACTTTTTTATGTAACGTAAATATATTAAACAGTTTACTAGATATTCCATAGAGTTAATGTTACGCAGTAGATCCCTCCACAATAATACCCTGCGATCCAACCCCTTTTGTTTGTATAACACTTGCATCGGAGACAAACGGAAAGAACTGTTATATTCCGGCATTTAAATCAAGGAAAAATCAACATTTCGGCAAACAAAAAAAGAAAAGAAAAAATTAACAGCAAGCAAAATTTAACACTTTTAAGCGACACATTATTTTGGAAGAATTGACATGAAAAAGAAAATCTACATTTTTGGACGAAAGAAAAAACATTTAGCCAGCAAGCAGCGTGTACAAGCTTTAGGGCAGCCCAATTTTTTTGAAATATCACACTTTCTTTGGACTTTTTTTAAGAAGAATCTAAAAGAAAACCAGAAAAAGCAGAAGCAAACAAGTTGAAGAACTTTGAAGAAGATTGAAAAAGTAATTTAAATACCTCAATGTAAGTGCATTATCTTCTACAAAAAAAAACAAACTAAGAACTAAAAACTAAAAAAAAAAAAAATCAAAAACAAAAAACAAACAAACAAATACAAACAAAAACTCAAAACCAAACTTACGAAGCGTAACAATGAATTAAAATGCTAAACAAAAACAAATATCCTAATGAAAAGCCAGACTAATATTGAAAACCTAGTTGTAAGCAAACACAAATTACTGAAAGAAAAGGAAATATAATAAATGCAACTAAAAAAACAAACGAAACAAACCGAACAGAACCTGAGTGAAAAGTCAACCGAAACGTAGAAACCGACTAATTGGAAAGGGCATATCACCAGATCACAGAAGAATCAGTGTGGCGAATCTTTTCACCAAAAGTTTCTCAGAGCCAAACACACACACACAAAACAAAGTAAAAGAAAGAAAACCCCAATCCGAGCTCAATCCAAAATCAAAATCAAATCAATTAAACAATCAATCAATCACTCACTCACCCACCAAAGCCCTACGCGAAATAGTTTTGGGTCAAAACTCCCCACCCAGAGATCAGATATATCTACATATTTGTACCATACCAACTGAAGAATCAACTTGGGACTCAGCAGGGGGATGGACGTAGGATGTAGGATGTAGGAGGCAGCAGGCAGCAGGCAGCAGGATGAATGAACCGAACAGGCGAGACGAGGAGGAGGGAATGGGAGAGGTGGAAGTGTATATAAGAATGTTGCTAGGCATTAACATTGATCTAAATGCGTGACATTTTGTTTTGTTATACTTGAAAATCTATATATGTATATCTATATATATATGTATACAAATCTAAACAAGTTCGTCTCCTTTTTTAATAACAATTAACAAATATCAATTCTTATTAATTAGTATATACATCAATTTATTATATTATTTTCGTAATTTTGTCCAAGGAAATATGTCCAAAGTTGTCAATGCAAAGACCCTATATACATATACATATATATAGATATATATAGATATATGTGGATGATTTATGCTTAAATACGATATTTATAAAGAACGAACGGAACGGATTGGAATTTTTCTAAAAGATTCCAAACAGAGAATGAAAGAACAAAGAAATGAAAATTATTATTCCAAATGCTGAATCAAAGAGAAGTCAGATCGACGACGAGACAAGTTAATAATTTAGCTATAGCTCTGGTTTATTTCGATGGGGGTTATTAAACATCATAAACATAATATAACGAATATATAAAGAAAAAACTGAAAAACTTGTGAGTTAGCGTGCGCGTTGAAAACGAAGACAAAGATAAGAATAAAGATAATGGTAACGATAACGATAATGATAATGATGTAGAAAGAAAACTCAATTGAAGAACGACGAGGGCGATTGTGAAGGAAAGTGAAAAGCAGAAACGAAATTATTTTTTAGTATTTAGAGGCTATTTTATATCGTTATTAAAGCAGTTAGGAAGGAAAGTAAGGCAACGGTTAGGCAGAACAGATGATGGATGATACCAGCAGGAAAAGTGAAAAAAAGAAAGGCGGTTTAGCAAGGGAAAATTAGATTTTAACCCAAATGGAAAAAAAGAAAAACGAAAGCAAGCAACATATTCAGAAAATCTAAAGTTTGCATTTCCAACATGTCGCATCATGTCCTTGTGTTTGTACAGTTTTTCTTTCCAAAAAACGTCCAGCAAAGTGTTAAAATTTAATTGTCCCTTTGGGGAAACGAAAACAAAAACAAAAAAATGGGAAAATGAGAAAAAGAATAATGAGAAAAGTACTTTTTTGTGTTGTAAGTTGTGCCAAGTACTGATAACGTTTAAGGTGTGATAAACTCGTTTTTAAATTTAACAACTATTTAAACTATAAAAAAACTACTTACTAAAACAAAACAAAAAAATTAAAATTTATAAACAAAAAAACTATTATTATTTAAAACGACGACAAAAATGCTTTTGATGTACATTTCATACACAAACACAACATTACCCAGACACAACACACACAGAAAAATCAACCCACAAAAGTACTTTGAAAGAAAACCGGAGGAAACCCCCTATATAACATCAGTTTAAAACACTAAAATCCACAAAAAATAAGAACAAAATTTGCTTTGCTACCAGAGAAAGAATTCGAAAGGTTTTTGATTTAATTTTTTGATTTTTATACCTATTTAATTTAACATAAAACGAAGACAAAAAAGTTTGTACTCTTTAAAAGTGAAACGAAACGAAAAGGACGAAGAGGTAAATCGATGTCGATGAAAAAAAAGAAACTCTTAACACAAGCATAAAAACAATGTAATGAAACGGAGAGTTAGGGAAGAGAACTTTTTTAAAAAGGCATATTTTTTTATATATGTACATATATATAAATATTTACAAAGGAGAAACTAAGCGAATGAAAGGGAAAAACGTTTTTAGCGGTACAAACATGAGTACAAATCAAGAGTTTTATTATTATTTTTTTTTCGTATGTTTTTCGTCTATTATGAGAAGGGATTTTTAACCTTTTGGAAGATAGGAGTTTTCTTAAGGCATATACACAAAAAAAAACAAAAACTAAAACGGAAAACTGAGGTTTGTTTTTCAATTGTTAGGCGCGTGTAAGTTGGTTAGAGACAGATAGAGAGCCAGACAGAGAAAGAGAGATAGTAACAGTTGATAAACAAGGCATTCTTTAACGATTAACGATAGGGATAGCGATAACGATAACGATAGTAACGCGAGTTTAAACGTAAGCTTGACAGTAACAACAGCTAAAGAAGACGAACAACAAGAGAACCGTTAGCCACGCAGGGAAAAAGTAAAAGAAAAGGACATGAAAAAGGAGCAAAGAAGCAGAGCAAATAGCCCAAAAAGCCAAGCCGCCACTCACACAGTGAAAATGATGAAATATAATGATATAAGCAAGTAACTAAAGCTAAAACTAAACCTAAAGCTAAATCTAAAGCAAGAACCTAAAGCTAAACGAGAGGATTTAATTACTATAGTGTTAGAGATGAGCGATGTCCGTTGATACAGCACTAAATTAATCGATACAAATTGGGGGTTAATTATTTTTTTAGTTTTGAAAAGAAATTTGGACGCAAAATCAGCCAGATCATCAAGAGCAGACAGGAAATTAGTCGAAAAAGAAAGAAAACAAGCAGGACAGAAAGAACGATCCAAAATCACTCTGAAAGACGACACAAAAACCGAACTAAATTTGAAAAAAAAAAAAAAACGAAAGCAAAACACACTGCAGAACGCATGGACTGGAACAGCATGGAATTGCATGTTCCAAATCGATACAAATAAAAAAACAAAGGCAAAAAGAAAACGAAAAATTCAAAAGGAAACTGAACTTACAAATTTTCGAAAAGAAAAAAATGAACTTCAGAGCATGAAATAAAAACTTTCAAAACATTTACTATATATTTTTAGCATTTAAGCATTAAAATGGAAAAAAGAAATAAAAACCAATTTTGTCAGCCGTAAGAAAAATGTACTACAATGTTTACACACACAGAACAACACTTAAAGTAACAACAAAAGAAAAACGAAAAAAAAATTACAAAAATATAACAAAATGAAACCACAAAAAAAGAAACAAACTATATAAAGAAAAGCAAACGAGAACTTTAAAAATATTACTTCTAAAAAAACAACACAATAATAACAACAACTAAAAACCCAAAGTTTTGAGTACACACCACACACAAATTTATACAAAATACACATTAAATTCTCTATGTAAAATTCGATATGAAAAGAAACCCCCCTATTCGTAATATAAATGTAAAACGCAAACAGTAACAATAGCAACCCACAAGTTCTTATCCAAAATTAATTAAATACGATATATAGGCAACGCGTTGAAACGAAACGAAATGAAATGGAATGAAACGAAACGAAACGTAGAACGCGCGGATAGGAAGGAGAGGAGATGGAAACGAAAATACCCCCAAGAATCCCTGAGCTTTGTTTGTTTGTTTTTGTACATTTCAAGCATTTTGAATATAAATACCGGTATACATATATATAACTATATGTATATATATAAATATATATTTGATAGTCTTTATTTAATATTATTCATATATATAAAGTATACTTATATTTTTTTTATTGTTTCGATTTGTAATAAATTATACACGGTAATCAACTGGAGACTGAGCTACAACATATATTTAGTTACCGTTATATTTATTGCAAAGACACCACACACACCACATGCGAAAAAAAAACACCATATTCACCAAACACACCATACATACAGCATCGACTATCCCAACAACTCTAATAAAAAAGTAACAATTAAACTATAAATAAAACAATAATCTATGAAACATACATAAGCATAAAGCATACATAAAGTATAGATCGATAAACCTTTAAGGCAGCCTGTGTAGAAGTAGTGGGTTTATTGCATTTTGTTTTGGCATCCTTGAAACAATTTCCAATTGATTTTGTATCCCAAAAGTGGGAATATCTGTACGATTCCCATGTTTATTTACTTTGATTATTTTTATTAATTTTTTGTTGTGTATTTCATATTGCCACCGCCACCCCCCTCACCCTTCATCACCCCTGCCTGCCCCGTCCCTATTAATATTCATCCTTCATCCATCTCGATGTCCCATTTCACCGCCATCCAGCGCCTGGTTTGCCTGTGTGATAGTAGTTTATAATTAAAGCCATCCGCTGGACACCACACAATACACCTTCGACCCCCCCCCACACACACGGAATCCCACCCCTCACCCTTCTTGCATTGACATACCCCCGATCCCAACCCCACTATAATTTTGAACATTTTTGAATGGCGAGCAAACTATATAGAAACCACTTTAAACACTTTAATAATAGTAATCTTAAAAGAGAAAAGAAAGGCGTAAAGTTGAAGAGGAAAATTTACAAAAGAAAAACAAAACATAAGAAAAAGAAAAAACAAACAAAAAAATGCTACTATTTTACATTAATTATTTTTAAATTTACCTTTATCTTTACCTAAATTAGTTTAGAGCTTTTTTTTTGCGTCGTCTATTTTTTAAACGTTAAGTTCATTTAATCTACGCATAATCTTCATGAGGATGATGATGTGACGACACAGGATGTATCTACATTGTACATTGTATCTACATTACAGAGCTAAAATATCTATAAATATTATAAATATAACAAAAAAGAGTAAAATATTATTAAAAAACCAAAAAAAAACCCACAAACTATTATTTGCCATTTTGTTTTTATTTTATTTCCGTTGTAGTTCAGCAATTTTGATTTTCAGTTGTTATCCTTCGTTGGCTTTATCCCCTATCGACTTCGATTGCAACTTCTCCGATGTCCTGGTGTTCCGATAAGTTTCCAGCGTTCCGACATACCGACGATCGTTTCGCGAGGCTTTCGATGTTGTCCTTGTACCGGTCCCCAAGTAAACCCCCGTAAGTCCCACTCCAACACTCGTCTAAATTATGAATTAAATGTGAATATATGAGCAAGGTAAATAATGAGTCGTCAGATATGAGTACATAGATGTGTATACCTTAACTAACTAAACTACAGCGTATTTCGTGGAGTAACATAACCAAACGTAAACTAAAGTAAAGAATAAATGGATGAAATAACTACCTCAGCTTTGAATATTTCTATAGAAATGTTATTAAATGTATTTGAAAGGCGTAAGAAATATACATACAGCATAAATGCGAAATGAAACACGACTTGGGATGCCGCCAGATGGAAAATAATGTCAAAAGATTACAAGTTTTAGAGCTGCATTTATATAGTATCAGATCGATAAGAAGACAAACAAAATAAAACAAGAAACAAAAAAATATAATAAGTGTACGTTTTGCATATTCCTATATAGTTAACTAAACGTAAAAGCAAGATGGGTAAACTTGAAATACTACTATAACAATAATTTTGCGTCCATTTTTGTTGTTTCCTATACAAGAGAAAATGAAAAAATCTATGAAAAACAAAAAAAAACTATGAAAAAAGCGAGAAATCATGAAAAAATAGATAATGGTTATTGGGAGAGCCTACCTACCTACCCACAATACATAAATATATTCCCATAACATTGTATAACTCTGTGTTTTTTAACCACAACGCAAACAGAATGCTATCCAATATCGGTAGACGCTAACCGTAACACATAACACTATACATATATCGAATATCCACTCAGTGTATGTTTTGTATCTGCCCATGGTATATAGATAACCGCGTAAAGGATATAGGACATATAGGCTAGAGAGCAGAACCCCCTGTTTAGAAGACTACTCGATGTCAGTTGTGTCATAGTTTAGACAGTATTTACTAGCGAGTACTATGCATTTGTTTACATTTACCATTATTACCATAACCGCTAACCGTAACTGTAACCGTAACCGTAACCCAAATACTACCATCGTGTTTTCATTTCAATCGATCGCCATCCCCATGGATCCAGAAACTATATAAACATAGGTGTATACATGCATACTTATCTGCGTAAGATGTTTTCCCTTTTCGGTGTAATTAAATGTTAATTGCTAGCGCTCAATACAAACATTACAACAACAAAATTACAAACAATTACAAGACCCACACACAGTCAGCGGAAAGCAAAAAAGACACCCACTCACCCACACACAAGGCTTTCTAAATTGTATCCAAAGGCCAAGGAAGTTATTAGAAAAGAAGCTATACAAACTACAACTACAACTAAAAACAAATACAATTTTGTGAAAATGTGAAAAACAAATCGAAAAGAAATTTACTCAATAAATGATTTTTCGTATATAAAAATATGTGCTTAATTTAAAAGGGTACATGGGACAGTAACTTTGATAATGATAGTGATAAGTAGGCCCTGATCTATTCTCACGTCAAAATTCGAAGTTGTCAAGTTAGGACCCAAAGCTACAATCCCATTCTCCTCATTATTTCATCAGGCTTTGAACAGTAAACAAGTAAATATTCAACAGAAGTTTTTCAACCAGAAAATAAGTATATTTCGTGAGACGCCCACAGGATGGATCGAAACCCGTGGCCCACTCTTGATCAGGACCAAGTGAAGCTCTACCATCGTGTGCTGGTGGAACTCAATCAAAAGATAAATGCCAAGTTGAACTACGAAAAGGTAAAGTCCGAACCGGATATGGATATCAAAATTCGACAGGGGCCGCTTCAGCGCATTAACAAGCCGAAATATAGGCAAGTATAGCAAGAGGCTTTTAGCCAGAACAAATTATAATAATAATATTCGATAGTTCTTATAAATAACTCAAACGACGGTACAATCAACAAAATTCGCTGTGAAATATATATTAATCCTATTTATGCTGCCACGATTGCAGCCGATCTTAGCCAAAATGATGCCCATAATGTTTGGCAGTTATTAACCAAGTTCAAATTTACACAACGGTATCCTTGGCGCAATGAATAAAATTCGTTGTGAAGTACACCATATGTGCTCTGGCACCAGCCAGAGCTACTGGAACATGTATCACTTTATTAATCCCCAAAATTTTGGTAAGTAAATTCAAGCGATTTCAGCCAAAATAATGCCAAAAATATTCAACAGTTCTTATTATCAACTTGCACACAACGGTATCCTTGGTATAATACTTACGCAGGCCACAGCAATTGGAATTCATGCCCACACTCGCCGATTTAAAGTGAAGAAGAAACACAAATATCTGACAAGAAAGAAGGTACATGGGCCAAGCGACGACTTTAATGCACGTTTTAACGTTTGAAATTTGCATTTATTTTCCAACTTTTAATAAATCTAAAAGCACGTCTCCAAACCGTTCTGTTACCCAGTTTCTACACAATTCTACGAGAGCCATGTTTGCCACCATTTGTTATCGCCACTTGGAAATTTAAAAACGCTAGATCTAGTGGGGAAAATAGCTAAAGTATCTTACACTAACGCGACAGCCAACATCGATATTTGGGCAATCTAAATATCGATATATTAATGAAAGCCAATGAGAGGGAATTCTGTTAACTCTCTTTCTGTCTGTTAATGAATTTGGCTTCCTACATGAGAATTGAACATGTATCCGAAAAATGTTATCCAGATGTGTAAATTGTAAAATTGGGATTTAAAGTGACCAGAAAAATATAAAAAATACCAAGAAATATATCTATATATTAATATTTTGGTATATTTTGAACAACCAAGAGCGCCCGACACCCGATAGCACCATAGAGAGATGTCTGTTAACTAACATCCACCCGACAGACAGAGAGAATTCTGTTAAATAACATCCAAACGACAGCACCCGAGAGCGAATTTTACAGTTGGCATGAGAATTCGACCCCATGTATCTGTAAACGTGTAGAACACCACTGTGGGCGTGTCAAATATAAAATGTTAACCAACAGCGTCGGAAATCCAGAGTGACCAAAGAAAAGTATCGGTTATCGAAAAGTACTTCGCCGCATCGAAATTCCGCAAAAACCAACGCTTGGCCACACTTCACGGTTTTTTTTCACCGAGTGAGCACGCGCTTCGTCGTTTCTGCAAAAGAAGTTTTTATTCTGTGACTTTTGTGAGAAGTTAACAACTGAAGGTATTGTGCTTTTTTGTATTTACCCCCTACGAAGCGCCCAGCGCAAAATCCGGCTGGCGGCGGCGGCGAAACAGCGTCCCAGTCGCCGCCGAAAATTTTGCGCCGCCATTGATTTTTTTCACGTCACCTTGCGCTAGATTCCTTAGTTATGTAATGTGCTATTTTTTTCTTGTGTTGGTGTTGGTTTAGTTTTGATATGCAATGTATTATAAATGGCTAAGCGGCGTTAGTTTTGCCCCAAGTAGCCTATAAAAATCGCTAGAAAAAACGTACTTATATAACCGGGCGAAAAGTAGCGGCTAAGCGAAGCTGTGCGAAGCCTTAATGAAACCAGTAATTATTGCTTATAGAAACGCCTCTGGCGGGCCACGGGGCCGCGTTGAGTCATGAATCTGAAGTCATCTCTTGATTGGAGCCACGCTGGATGGTTTTCCCCAATTTATTCCCCCATTTTCTTTTTCGTTTTTTTTTTTTTTTGCAACCACGCTGGAACTGCCAACTTATGCAATATCATCGAGTTGGCAGGTCTGGGCTCCGGCTCTTGCGGTTTTTTTTTCTTTTTTATTAATTCTTTTCTTGAATTGAGCACAATATGCCTATTTCTGTAAATTGAGTTGCACTTTGTGCATTTGTAAGTGTATATGCGGGGCATTTATTAGATGAAAGTGTGGCAATTGATTGTTCTATTGCCCCCGCACACTGGCGAATTAATTCCATGTGCTGTAGCGCCCTCTCGCTCGCTCCCCTGTCCGGGGCCCAGCTGCGCGTGCAAGTTGCTATCTGTGTGTGTGTGTCCGAGTGCCGTTTTATTCGCAAGAGAAAATGTAACTGTCTCTTCTCTTGTGACCCGCTTTCCTCTTGCTCTTGCTCGTGCTCTGCCTCTTTTACCGAGTCAAAAGTACAAAGTTTTGGCCAGAAAAACGACACAACAATTCGCCTGTGGCCATTTTCCTGGCCCCCCCCTTCCTCCTGCCCGTGTGACGTCAAACGCCGGACGTCACAGGTTCAGGTATTCATGTGATTTTTTATGTTTATTTTGCCCTTTTGTCCGGCCTCTTGGCGCCATTTTGCACTGATTAGAGGCACAGATTCCCCCAAGCAGGCAGAGCGATAGAGTTACATTAATTCATGGGGAAAAGCGAATCACCATCGGCTTGGATACAAGCGATAACTTGGCGACTCGACGGAAATTTTCAATGCCTCGTTGCCTGGCTCCACGCCCCATTTTTTGCTTAGTCTGGCGAAATCCGAGTTTCCCAGCTGATGCCTATTCAGATTCAGATTCTACGTAAACTTGGCCGCCGTTTAATTTTAGCCGCAACTCCGTTGCACTTTTTCTTTCTCTATTTTTTGTTGTTGCTGTGTTGGCTTGTCGCCAACGGCGGCGGCGCTCGCTCTTGTTTTTTATGTAATTTTTTGCGATAGCGGGACCTTGAAAAGGCGGCGCAGACAGGCCTTATATAAATAACTGTATTTAGCGGTCTTTATCTAATCGCTTCACGCACTTCTAGAGCTGGCAGCCGCCCTTCTTCCGCGTGCGCGAAAGAGAGGGGGCGTCAGCCAGCAAAAGCCAGGCGAGAGAGAATTAGAGCGAGAAAGCCAAGTCACATGCTTCGCAGCTGACGGCTCGGCTCATTGCCAACTGTGAATGTTCGTTGGACAGAGAGTGAGAGAGTATTTTGTGTTCTATTTGATGTTATTTTTTTTTGGTTTTTGGCAAGCAAAAGCCAAAACCTCGAAAGGGGTAAATGAAAAACAATTGGCCATATATGCATTTTCGGGGCGACTAAAACGAAATAAAAAGTGTTTTCTCTAATGCGAGTGCGAATGCGAGTACTTCCTCTTATGCAACCCACACGGCATTGAATTCTTAGCACTGATAAGCAACGATCTCGCTCTAGCCCCTGTCCCTGTCTCTGCCCTCTCTATCGCACACGTGCTGTTGCCAACCCAAGCGATAGATGGATGACGCTTTTCGCACGCTCGCTCTCTCCCTCTGCCAACTGCCACTGCCACTGCCAACTGCCCCTGCCTGGCGCTCCCCCGCTCTCGCGCAACTGTTGCTGAACTTGACGTCGACTGCGCGGCCTCGCCAACGCTAACGCCAACGCAGGCAGAGCAGGCTAGCTGGCTGATTTCGGCGAACGGTACTTTCACAAGCAATTCAGTTGCCGTCCGGTTAAGACTTTGATTTCCAAGGGAATAAGGATAAATATTTTTTTTTCGGTTTTGTGCTGTGATATAAAACACATACAAATAGTACGTATGCAAGCCAATTAAGTTGAATAACTCGACTGCATCCACATCTATCTACATCTGCAATCGAACGAAACAACGCGAGTGACTCTAGATACTCTTTTTTTTTTTTCATTTCCAATCAAATTGATCTGATGGAAGAGAATATTCTATTTGCTTGGTTACATAAACCGAGCTGAACTTGAATCGCTTGGTTCCTTCTTTTTGTTTTGTTTTTGTGGTTAACGGTGCTGCTCTTATGCAATCAATAACAATGAATTAAGAATAACTCTCGCCTGGATTGGATACAACTCAAGGAAGCTTTAGCTTTCCACGTGCAACTTTCTTTCGGGGCCAACTAGAATTTTCCAGCTGCGGCTATTACATCACGCTCTCTTCGCTGCTGAAGCGAAAGCTTTGGCACTCTCTTAGCCGCGATTAGATAACCACACATAGAACAGTTGGCCAAAGAGAGGGAGAGCACCGAAGAGAAAGCCAACCAAGTTTCGCTCTTGCTATAGTCTCTTTGTCTCTGTCAAGTGTTACATAAACCCATCAATGAAAGGCGGTGCGGTGCGGCCTAGAATATGCTAATTGAATTTCGCTGAAATAAAACGAGGCGAAACGCTCTCGAGTTCTTCTGCTGCTTTGGCTGGCGCTTCTTCTTTGCACACTTGAAATTCTAAAATTATCGAACACGCTTCAATGGCAAAAGCCAGCTGCCAAAAAAAAAGAAACGAAAAGAAAAAAGTTTTGGCCTCTATAGCCATCCTACTCGCACTTGCGTTAATGCCCATTGCACAGAATTTTCCATTGAACTTTCCTCTATTCTTTGTTCTCACTCTTTTTGTGTGTGGCAATTATGCAATCCAAATATGCAAACATCCATTGCTCCTGCTGAATGAAAACTAGATAAATGCAGTTTCAATTAACAGCTAAGAGCAAGCAGCCAAGTAAATGGAAAGAGTTAAGCAAAAGTGGCAGACACTCAATGCCTTGCCACGTAACCATCAGTGGAGCTTCTCTTAAATTTCGAGGGCAACTCTTTATTGTAGAGGGGCTCCAAAAACTGGTTGGAACTCAATTCGAATACACTGGGAATTGCCATTTGCTAAAACCACGTGGCAAGTTCAGCCGGCCTTTAATTGTTGTTGGGTTATATATTTTTTTGCAAACCTTAACCGGTTTTAGCCAATACCAATACCAATACCAAGCTTAACAAGTCACCATCGCACTCTAAACTAACCTCATGCTATGTATATTTATCTTCATTTGTTTGTAATACTAGATCTGTAAGAACTCTTAGCTTGTGAGCACCATCTATCGTAATATTATTATTATATATTTCGCAAAACACCTATTTAATCATTAGTTTTAGTTATAAGTTGCATTAACATTTGCATGTTTAACCTTCTCGCGCTATCGTTACGTTATCATTTCTCGCAAAATCTTTGTTTTAACCTTTTACGTTTAACAAGTATGTACATATTGTGTGAAAGCAAAAAAAAAGAAGCAAAAAAAAAAGAAGCAAAAAAAAAAGAAGCAAAAAAAAGAAGCAAAAAAAAGAAGCAAAAAAAAGAAGCAAAAAAAAAGAAAGAAAAGTGCATGGTTTTGGTTTGTAACATTATTCACATCACATCTTTATTTGGCCTTTCAACTATTCTGCTTGTGTATTCCGCACCTGTGTAAATAAAAAAAAGTGAATCCATCTTTACCGTTCGTTTGTACATCTATCATATCGTAAATCCTAAATCGTATATCGTACACCGTAAACCATAAACATTATGCAACGCATGGGGAGCTCCCACCCGTGCATCAAGCATCCATCCATCCATATATCCATCTATCCAAAAGCCACCAGCGGTAATCACTTCATCAAGATTCCATCAAGAAAGCAAGAGAAGAGAAGATGGAGGAAAAGAAGAAGATAATGTCGAGATGACGATTAATTGAAAGTTTGGGTGCCATTACCCGATATATGTTGTTACAGCAAAATGGGCAAGGATTTCGATGCTGTTGGATTCGTCAAGGACTTCGCTGCCGGAGGCATCTCCGCAGCTGTCTCAAAGACTGCCGTCGCCCCCATTGAGCGTGTGAAGCTGCTCCTGCAGGTTCAGCATATCTCGAAACAAATCAGCCCCGACAAGCAGTACAAGGGCATGGTTGATTGCTTTATCCGCATTCCAAAGGAACAAGGTTTTGGCTCGTACTGGCGCGGTAACTTGGCCAACGTCATCAGATACTTCCCGACCCAGGCTCTGAACTTTGCCTTCAAGGACAAGTACAAGCAGGTAAGTACATTTTGACATAGTCAGCTTTTGCCTTTCCAAATTCTAATTTCTGCGGCTCAATTTTCTATCTATAGGTCTTCCTGGGAGGTGTTGACAAGAACACCCAGTTCTGGCGTTACTTCTGCGGTAACCTGGCCTCCGGTGGTGCCGCTGGTGCTACCTCTCTGTGCTTTGTCTACCCCTTGGACTTTGCCCGTACTCGGTAAGTTTTGCTATAATACCCAGGAGAGTGTAAAGTGTGCTAATACAAGTCTTTTTCTACTCATACAGCTTGGCTGCTGATACTGGCAAGGGTGGCCAGCGTGAATTCACCGGTCTGGGCAACTGCTTGACCAAGATCTTCAAGAGCGACGGCATCGTCGGCTTGTACCGCGGCTTCGGTGTGTCTGTCCAGGGCATCATCATCTACCGTGCCGCCTACTTCGGCTTCTACGATACCGCTCGCGGTATGTTGCCCGACCCCAAGAACACACCCATCTACATCAGCTGGGCCATCGCCCAGGTTGTGACAACCGTTGCTGGCATCGTGTCGTATCCCTTCGACACCGTGCGTCGTCGCATGATGATGCAGTCTGGCCGCAAGTCCACCGAGATCATCTACAAGAACACACTGCACTGCTGGGGAACCATCGCCAAGCAGGAGGGCACTGGTGCCTTCTTCAAGGGCGCCTTCTCCAACGTTCTCAGAGGCACTGGCGGTGCTTTCGTGCTTGTGTTGTACGATGAGATCAAGAAGTTCTTGTAAATTAAATTATTAAATTATTCAAACAAACAACAGCAAAATACAACAACTACATAAAACAACATAAACAAAACAAACAAGAAAACTAAACACTACCAGCTATAATTATGTTAGATAACTGAAAGAGCAACAGCAACAGCAAATGTTTGATCTGCAACCAATCACCTTAGCAAGAACAACGGCAAAGCAATAAGAATCCCTCTCTCCCATCCCCCATTTTTCCCTCGCCCCCGCCCCCAACAGATATAATTATGAAATTATATTATATATAATAACTGGGAGAACTAATTTACGGAACGATGGATGGATGGCCAGAATCAATAGAACAACAACAAGAAGCAGAAAGGCAAACAGCAAACGGGAACCGCAACAGAAGAAGGAAATACGCTAGGAGAAGAGGAAACGACTCGGCTCATGGGAGCACCCAGTACACTGAAAGACGAACGAAAATTGCGACGATATTGATATTGATTAGTATTGTTAAGTTTGGGTTAGGCTATATCCATTATATCCTATCTGTCATGCTGCTGGGTCGAGCCATCTCCACAGCCAAAAAAAACAAAAACAAAAACCAGAGTGTGATCGATAGGAGGACGCAAAGAATCATCAACCGAAGACCTGTAGAGATTCTTTAGCCTCCGACACGACACGACTCGACAAACAACAAACTCAACCTAGGTTGGTTTAAAAATATATAAAAATTGATAAAAATAGTACAATGTTTTGTGTTTTACTTATTACCTCCTCTCGCCCTACTAGATTTTCAAAAATGTATGCATATATGTATATTTATATATACTGCAAACATTTGACCTTGGTTCTGTCCAAGGGTTAACTGCCACTGTGGCAAATACTGTATCCAAGTTGGCCAAGACAACTTCATCGCACCTGAATCGTACCGATTTTTGTTAGAATCTCGTCAGGCCTGCGTCAGTTCGGGTCTCAGTTTGTTGTTAAATTCTAAAAATTTATTTATATCAAAATTATACGTTATCTCTTTTTACAATCTTGAATTTTCTTTTTTACCGACAAAAAGCAGCTAAAAATTCTCAACAATGGGTGAAGAAGGCGGCGGCGGCGGCGGTGGAAAGGGCGATCTCAAGTCCTTTCTTATGGATTTTATGATGGGCGGCGTCTCAGCAGCGGTTGCCAAAACGGCAGTGGCGCCCATAGAGCGTGTTAAGCTCCTGCTTCAAGTGCAGGAGGTTTCCAAACAAATTGCAGCTGACCAGCGATACAAGGGCATAGTCGATGCCTTTGTTCGCATTCCCAAGGAGCAGGGATTCGGCTCGTTTTGGCGTGGTAACTTGGCCAATGTTATACGTTATTTTCCGACACAGGCGTTGAACTTTGCGTTTAAGGACGTGTATAAAACGGTAAGCAAATCCACCAGGTTTCCTCTAGTCGATCTTGAGAGATCTCTTGAGTGATTCCTTTTTCATTTGCAGGTTTTCCTTGGAGGCGTTGACAAACATAAACAGTTTTGGCGTCATTTTGCGGGTAATTTGGCTTCCGGTGGTGCTGCCGGTGCCACGTCCTTGTGTTTTGTGTATCCTTTGGACTTTGCGCGAACACGGTGAGTTTTGATTACATATATTTATTGGGTTTAAAGTGTAGACATCGATTGCACCTGATGGGAAGGCTACCTAGCCTTTAGCTTTGTAAACTCAACCTAAATGTGACTACTTCATCGTAACTCCAACCTAATCCTGCTCCCAAACAGTCTGGCCGCCGATGTGGGCAAAGGCGGTTCCCGAGAATTTAATGGTTTAATCGACTGTCTGATGAAAGTGATCAAGAGTGACGGCCCCATTGGTCTGTATCGTGGCTTCATTGTGTCCGTTCAGGGTATTGTGATCTATCGCGCTGCCTACTTTGGGTTCTATGACACATGCCGTGACTACCTACCCAATCCGAAGAACACACCCTTCTACGTCAGCTGGGCGATTGCTCAGGTGGTCACCACCATAGCAGGAATTGCCTCCTATCCGTTCGATACGGTGAGACGTCGGATGATGATGCAGTCGGGCCTTAAGAAATCGGAGATGATCTACAAAAATACCGCTCATTGTTGGGTGGTAATTGCCAAGCAGGAGGGCATTGGTGCCTTCTTTAAGGGCGCCTTCTCCAACGTTCTCAGAGGCACGGGCGGAGCCCTGGTGTTGGCCCTTTACGATGAAATGAAGAAATACTTTTAACTTTGAATTCTGGTCGATAGCAAGTAGGACATGGGATATGGGAATTGTCGACGGACCATCAGTCGCGTGCCGCCACCAACCCGGTGGCATTTGTTCATCATAGGCACAATCATCTAGTCACCCTAACACCACCACCAGCAGCAGCAGCAGCATCCCCCAGAGATTGCAAGTCCAAGACAGTTGAGATATAGAGACCACTGACCCCAGGCCCTGCGAGATTATTTGTTGGACTGCTGCTGCCTGCCTGTTGCATTTTTATTGAATCTCAAAATTTTAGTGTGATTTTGAGAAAATACAAATAATTTATTTAACTTAACTCATTGTGGAGCTATTGTTCTCTTGCCTCGCGTGCATGTGTTTGTCTGTGTCCAGTGTCCAGGGCGGGTCGCCTTTAGCCTTACCTATTAACATTTATGAAATATGTAACAAACTATAGAATTAATCTTGGGCAAAGCGAGTTTTTCCTTGACTATGAAAACGAAGCTGTATCCATCCTTAAAAGTAGAAATAAATTTCCTATTTTAATGTACTCAACTTGCAATAGAAATAGATTGCTCAAACAAACCCCAGAGAAGACTTAGTTATGCAAACTCTGTTAAACAAAGAACATGTTAATTCCAAAACTAATGTAAAGAATAAGATGCGTAACACTAATTGAATTTTATTAGACAAACCAGAGAAGGAAACACTCTTTTATGCATTCAATTTTCAAATTTGTACATCGCTTGCAGAAAAATTGTATGCTTTGTTAATCCATTACGCATCTTATTCTAGTAATTATCTGTAGTACTACCTTTTTGTAACGAAACCTTTTTGGCCACAGAATTTCTATCTATATAGACTCTAGTCAAAATGCAAATGGTTAAAAAGGATTTGATTTAAGGTACTATATAGATACTTTCGGTAGACCAGGCGACCCACCCTAGCCTTGTAGTAGATGTAGTCGTGTGCGTATGTGCTGGTGGGTTTCAACTTAAATGTTAGCATCGGCGTTAAAGTTAGGCATTAAAAAATAACATTAAAAACAAATCAAGTCGAGAAAGGCTTGGCTTTCCATTGAGCTGCTGTTGCATGATGTCCTCCTACTGCTGCTCCTCCTCTTCACATTCATAAATTACTCGTAACAACAAAACAAATTAAAAAAAAATACATACGTTCACAAAAGAGAGACGAAATTACAAACAAGTACGTTCGACTTGCACTTATTCTGTTAACAATAAAATATTATTCTACGCTAATCTTCCCAGCTTCCAGCTTGCAGCTTCCAATCCTCCGCAATCTACCGTCCCTTTAGCTCCAATGCGGACTTAGTGGGTGGCTCCGGAACGGTGCGCCAGGAACAGGAAGTACGTGCCCGCCGCATAGGCCAGGAAGTTGAAAAGCCCAAAGACGCCGGCGGCTGTGTTAGAGCCAGCACCCTTAGCGGCCGAATCTGACCATCTGGCCAATTGGACAATGAAGCCAATGAAATACAGCAACGTCAGCACAGCGGTGGTGATCAGTTCCTGCAGACAAGAAGTGTGTGATAAAAGAAGGTAAGTATTTTATCTACATAATATATATCAAATCACTAACCGAGAATATCCAGTTGACGGCCACGTTAAGAGCCTCTCGAATGCCCAGGAAGTAAGCGGCAATCAGCAGGATGGTGATAATGAACGAGATCACAATCACGAACATAAAGAACGAGGTGGCCGAGTTCATGGGCGGAGCTGCCAGAGCCATGCATATAATGCCCAGCACCTGTGAGTAGAGGGGGTAGAGAGTAAGAATATTGATAAGTAACTCGAGAGCAATATATATGGGATTATAAAGGGATTCTAGGGTTTCTTAGTAACCTATCTTATGGCTTGTGACCCTGCTTAGGATGAGTTTTCTCTAGACCTTATTGGCATACCCCTATATAATTCAGGAATTGTCTTTTCGTAATGAATTTCTCATTGATATGTATGACCTATCCTGTTTTGGGTACCCTCTCCCTAGACCCTTCTCTACACCTGTAAGGATCTAAAGAATTCAAAAATTGTCTTTCCATAATGGATTTCTCATTGATATTTCTATTACCTCAGACCAGATCGTGATCTTCAATTGAAGGCGCCTCTTCAAGGCCGCATTGTGTATTTGGAATGAGAGCTTGACATGATGTCACCATCAATTGAACACAAAATCTGAATGCACACACCATGAATGGAATGGTTGTGTTGGGTTGTGTCGAACAGCAGAGATGGTTCTCCGTCTAATTAAGCAAAGAATTTACACACTTTACTGCATATTTGTTTAGCAGGGAAAAGGAATGAATATAAAAACACTCGGGGTACCTATATTTTTGTTCTATTTGTTAGAATGGCTACCAAGAAGCTTCATTAATATTATATTAATTCTCCTTTTTTATACCCTTGCATGGCATTATATTTTTTACTTTTACGCTTGTAACGCATTGAAGGAGGCATTTCCGACCCTATAAACCATATATATTCTTGATCAGCATCAACAGCCGAATCGATCAAGACATGTCCGACAGAAATAAAAATTTTACCAATTTTTCCTAAAAATTTATAAGTCGTTACATGGTTAAAAATTTTCAAAAATTTACAAAAATTTTAAAAGTTGTAAACTTTAAATTTTAATAGGCAGATTTCTTAGCGTCATAAAAACTAACACAGAACAGTTTTCCGAATTGAAATTAATGCATTTTTGCCTTAGTTATGATCGATTTTAAAGTCTGCCTTTCTAAACCAATATGCTAATTGCAAGGGTATACAAACTTCGGCTTACCGAAGTTGGATTTCTTTCTTGTCTTGGGTAAATCAATTAATGAGTTTAGAACTAAGGTATAAGGTATTTCAGAACCATCTGCTGATGAATATCCTCTGTAAATTAGACTATTCGTCATACAGTGATGTTACTCACTTGGAAGAAGACCACGCCTCTCACAGCGCCCACTGATAATCTCTTTCTATCTGTAATGAGGTGCTTTCGACTGGCACTCATGACTCAGTGCTCATTACTTGCAATTGATTTAGTACATACGGTCGAGAGACTATCTTTAAGTGCCAAGTGACTCGATAGAATCTTATCGAAATTCAGGCAAATTCGCAGGGTGATTATGGCCAAGGCTTAGAACAGTCCAAGCCTGGATATGACCAAGCCCAGAAACCAGGTGACGTGTTTGTTTTAGGCAATTAAAAAGCAATAAGCTTTTGGCGACACAAAAAACGAGAAACACAAAAAAAACCGGGGAACAGGTGCGCATTTGCTTTTGGCTAAAACAAAAGGTGCACGAAAAAAGTGAAAGCTGAAAGTTGTGGCCGGGCCAAAAGCGACCTGTTGATGCCGTCTAAGACGGGAGACTCTGGCAACATGTTGGTGTTGATGTCGTTGCCGATGTTGATGTTGTTTTTCTTTTAGGTTTTTTATTTTTGTTTTTGCTATCTGGCAAACAATTAACCAACGAGAGACATGGCCAACAAGCACAGGAGGCGGCCGGCGCCATATCAAAAGGTTGATTGAACTGTCAGCGATTTGTTGATCTTCGATTGCATTCCCCCTTAGGAAAAACATCAATACTAGCAGACAAGCAAACAACTCTTGAATGATGGTGTTGTTCTTCTTCGTTTTTTCTATTTCTTTTTCTATTTTTACATTTTTTAAAGACACCGGACATACCTACTACAAAGTATGCATGATGTGGCCTCTCCCAAAAATTTGCGTCACGTTTTGAAAAAGAAGAGCGGGAAAGAAAGAAATCTTTACGGAAAATATTTGAATTTTTATCTTTTCTAAACATAATTTATGGTTGGCTTTTTATTTGCCCGTGTCCCCCAGTGTGGGGCGTTGTGTGCTTAACAAGCGGCCAGATTTGCATATACACATGGGCGTTAAATGTGTGTGGCTGTGTGTTTTTCTGGTCACAGTCAATATAGTTTATGTATATGAACATATGTATATATATATATTTCGTAACGCTCCAATGGCCAAGACAAGCGTCTAAGAAAAACTATATAGTACACAGAACCGAAATATCAATGGAATTATTATATAACAATTGGGTATAAAAATATAATTAAATTATATACCATATGAGATGTAAATGGGCAGGCAGAAATATTTAGTGAGCTAGCTAGTCAAAGCTTTGAGCAACACTGTTTTAGGAACTCCTTAAGAGCCACTAGGACACACTAAATAACTAATCCCTTTTTAAATGGAATAAAGTCCAAAAGAGGCATTTAATCCTTGCTGGGAAAAGGTATCTTCCAAGACCTATGCTCGTCTTTATCAAGTTCTTTTTGTATGTTTTTCTGGTATTACGATTTTATTTCTTTCCGTGCAGACCTGTGAAGCGTGAAACAGTGCGTGGACAGCGAATGCATCTAGGAACAGAACTGTATATTGTTTATGTATATGTATATCGATCAAGCCAAATAAGGGTTTCAGCATAAATTGTGTGTACGCAATCGATGACGCGAAACGCCACTGAAATGGATCTGGTTCTTGGCCTCCGATTATATGGTTTACGGTTTACGATCTGGGGTTGCAGCCTGGCCTCCGTTGTCTGTGAACTTCAACGGAAGCCACTCAAGTGTCAATAACCACACACACACACACACGGGGAGATAGATATATATAGAAGAGAGTTTTGGGAGCTGATAAAGCAATATTAAAGGCCTTAAAAACTGACAAGGGATCATCAACTCTTGCTCATTCTGTGGGGGATAAGCTATCTCTAACCTGATTAATGATTGCTCAAGATAGATAAGCTGCAGTATATAGTCAATAATAGTATAATAAATATAGCTGTATCTCTCGTTAATAAGCTATAATAGCCGGGTTAAGGCAGAGCCTGTAAGCTGATGAGCTCACTCTCCAGAGCGTAGTCGTTGTCGTGCACTTAGTCAGCATCAATTACCTAAAAAGTGTACAAATACACAAACCTGGTTAGGTATTTGCATAACTTGGTGTGCATCTCAGTACAGTATAGAACGGGAATATAGGTCTTACTCAAAACAATAACAATTGTAAACGCTATTCATCAGTTTCTATGAGTTTAACATACATGAGGCAAGAGCCCACTTAATAGCCGAAATCCCAAAATGACCCATTTAGATAAACCCATTCTAAGCTTTTTATTAAACAATCTTTCAGAGAGTCTCGATAACACAGGCATGGCTGGCACTGTCTGTTCCCATATACGGCTAGTGACGATCGATCGCATTCTCCAAGCCGCCGACAAAAAACCAAAACAAACACAGAGACAGGTCACAGTCACAACAACTGTGTGTTTTTGTATCTGGGTAAAACGCCTTCGTTAGGCGGTACAAATTTCTTGAATGACACCGTCTGTGTGTCATAGTTGCCGCTTTTGGCGAGAACATTAAAATCTTAAAATCACAAAAAATCAAAATGAAACAATACTGTGGCGTGGTTGTGCAGCTTCCAAAATATATGTTTCTTACGTAATGTTTATAATAAAAGCGTTCCCCCTTCGGAGAGCGACAAGAACTTAATAATAAATCGTGCCTGTTCCATAGTGCACATGGATATACAACCTACTGTGTAGGATATATATATATCTTTGCCCACTTGGCCCTGGCATGCATAGAGTTATGTATAGCCAAGTCTGTCCAAGTCCATGTCCAAGCATATATATATATATATATGTATATATCTCCCATTAGATCCGATCCACATATATACACACATGAGTTCGTGCTCATGCTAATTGGCAGGGCGGTCATATCTAATCGGAAAGCCTTTCCACAAATTGGATTGCAACTCCGGGAGGAGTATGGCTTTCAGGGGTTTTTTTTTGTTTCACTCCGAGGATCAAGGGGCGGATGAGTAATGTTTATGGGTTTGGGCCAAATTAGCAATTGGCATTTGGCAGTCAGGTGTCCAGGCATTGGCCTTATCGCTCAGGGCTACCGAATTTTAGGGGTAGAAGGAGAAAGAGGATCGGGAGTCCCATTATCGCCACACCTTGTCCACCGATAACGGGGCGTATGAGTAATGGCCGATTAGCCAGTCTTTTAACTATCCGCACATCTGGCTAAAATGACTCACGGTCAAGTTAACCTTAAGTCTTTTATGTCTGCCAGTAAAATGATAACTTTATTTGGGTCCTTAACAAAAGTATTCTTAATAAGAAATTTAACAAGTTTAACTTGTCTAAACTTATTCATGCATAAATGGTATAGGAAGACCCTTGATAAATCCACATTTACATAGATATATTCCTATAGTTTCTAGCAATGGGAAAGGATAATGAACCAATAAGTTCGTTAATTAGCCAAAATGTTATATTCCCAACATTAGTTATTCATTGGTTTAAGGATCTCCTTCCTCCCAAAGCTGGGAACCGGGCAGGTGCAGGTGGTGCATATATGGCCCTGTTATTTTTTTTGGTGGCAACCTTAAGTGGAGCACTTGTACATATATATGTATATATAGTGCGACGGGACTATCAGCCGACTATCGCTAAAGGCGCCCGATAAGATTAATTGCCACAAAAAAATAACGAAACAAAAAGAATCCCATTGGACAGACAAAGAAACCAACCAAACAAAAAAGTACCAAATGTCCATTTGTGACATCAAAGCCTTCAGAGAGATAAGTCTTTGCCAGATCAGGATGAGTTTGGAGAAAGGTCTACCTGGTCTTTCTCCTGTGGTTAGCCAAGCAAGGCGTTCTTGGTCTGGGTCTCGCAACTGTACCATTAACCATTAGCCCTGGCAAGTAACCCGGCTTGTTCGTGATAATCGGAGCTTGTCGGGACCAGAGGGAAAAAAAGTAAAAATCAATAAATAGCACTTAATACCCGACAGTTTATGGCGATGGTAATCATATCAGCAATTTCCCTGCCCTTACTCCTTGCCACACAGCAAGAAAATCAGATTAATATCGTTATGGAAACTTAAACCTTGATGGAATATGATTTATAGCATCTTTAGCAAAACAGACCTGGCTTGTCTTTACCATAAGTTCAGGCAGTCTTTCAGCTCTTAGGGTTCTCTGATATTGTAATACACTAGGTTATTGAGTTTTTCTCTCTGTGCATTTGCTACCCACTCTATTTATTCAGTATTGATTTTCAGCGACAACTGACGAGCGGTTAATAATGCATTTTTCATGTGTACTTTAGCAGTTGTCGTTGTCCTTTGACCTTGGCGCTTTTCAGACTGTTTCTTTTAGACTTTATTTAGACTTTCCAGAATGCCAAATATAGTCGGAGAGAATCTGTGGACTTTCAACACCTGCACACACTACCTGCCGTAAGACTCTGAGTACTCGTCGGGGCCTTGTGTTGGCGTCCAACGGTTAAGAGCTGTGGGCGGCGTTATAGGGGGGTTGGGGAATCGGCTCGGATCACCGCTTGACATGGCCAACTGGTGGAGCTGCCCACACGGCGCCACACGCTTGTGTGCCCATTGCTATGTCTGTGGGAACTGTCCGACTTCGACTCTGAATTCCAGGCCAAATCGAACTTGGTAAACGATTTTTATTTCAATCATAACTGCAGTTCCATGGTTCCCTACGAGCTATGAGCTATGAGCTATGATCGAGAACCACATGGCCATGGACTCACATGTTTGCAGTTCCCTATCTTATCCGTGGGGCATAAGTCTAATGAGATCCTCACATACAATACCTATGTATATAATCACCAATTGGTATATTTGTACACCTACCGAGGGTCTCTCTTCTTGGCTTGCTTAAGTTGCCAGATAGCCTGGGAGGTGGAAGCGAGGCCCACAGATAAAAATGTTTCACGATATCGGTTCGATATATGTGCTCTATATGTGTCTTGAATTGCCTCAGCTGGGAACACGATAACTGTTTGATTTTATATTTATTATTTAGCAAATGTTTTTGCAAAATCCGATTGGCATGGGGAATTATAAATAAATAAACTCTATCATATTTAATTTTGAAAATATGTTGAAAATGAAAAAATAGATCAGAAAAAGATTTGAAAAAAGCAGTCAAAATCCTAGAAAAACTAAAATCAAGTGTGCTCGACAGTGAAATACCCTGTACTCTAGTTAGATAAAAACCTCTACGGAAACTGGATAAGAATTCTGGTATCTAATGTAAAGATATATCTTACGATTGAGATCATATCTATATCATTTTTATGTATCTGAACTCTTGGATATTTTCCAAAGACCACTACCAACTATATGAATTTCTTGAAGTTTTAAATATATTTTCCGGCTCTTTTGAGTTAAGGAAACCGTATATTTTGAACTACTTACAAACTGGACAATCTTTAGGATGCCCGGAACAGTGCGGAAATAGTCAATGTTGAGACGGATGGCGCTCCAGAAGCCGCCATCATTGCCACCGGTGGGATTGGCGCCACCGGGCGGTCCATTCGATGTGGTGGTTGTTGTGCGCTCGACGGTGACCACGGTCTCGACCATTTTGTTGCTTTTTTAGTTTCTGCTGGTTTTAGTTAGTTGGAGGAGTTTCTGGGCAGAGAAGCAACTATTTTTAAACACTTGTCGCGCGGTTTTGTCACAGGAAAATAAGAAGACAAAAAATATATCTTGTATTATATACTTGATGGTCGATCGCCGGCTATATCTGCTCTATATACGAGTATATACGCGTATATGACACCCTCGCGCCTCTGACTTGAGTGTCTATATGCGTCTGGCTGTGTCCGACTTGTGGGGGTTTTGTGGGGGGCGAGACTGGGCCAAAGAGAGAGTAGTATCCGCGAGATTGAAGGCGTTGCTTTGTCCACGGCGGTCGCTGGTCGACTGAACTGCGAACTGTTGGGAACGCGAAAGCGAACGCGAAGGCGAACGCGGCACAGTGGGGTATTACACACCAACAAATGGTGATCAAGTCAGGGAAAGCATTTTTTGAATAGGAATTGATTTATATTTTCTGTTAGATATGCTTAAAATAAGTATAAAAACTAGTTAACTTGTAAATGAAAAGTTTGTTTTATTCTTTACAAATTAAAATGAGTATGGATTTGTTTTATATATTAGAAGAGTGTTGATTGTACATAAAAAGTTATGTTAAATTTTAAACCTCCCAAATGAGAATTTTTGAAAAATATTTTCTTAAAACCCTTTCATTTGGCTTAATTTATATATTTGGTTTAATAAATATGTATAGTCCCTTAATAAGTTATTTAAAAATATGAATAAAATATTATTCAAGTTGCAATATGCCCACTGTACGTTGCTGCTGCTGCAGCATAACGGTTAACTGAGCAATAATAATCGCTCTCGCTCACTTGCTCTCCCTCTCGCTCTTAGTTGCGCGCGCCCTTTGGCGACGCCTCTGCTTGTTGCGTCGCGAAAACTAGTTTTGCTGCGCCTGCGTCGCGTTCTCTGCATGCAATTTTTTGCTTGGTATGCCCTGGCTACACTTATCAAAAATATGAGTACAATATTTGAGAATACTTGCAACTACCAATATTTGCAGTATAGGCACTCCAAACATTTTTATTTAATCCGTTTTTTGGCAAACCAAAGGTCATTACTGAGCAAGAAACATTTATTTTGATTCAAAAAGCTTTTCTGTATTAATTATAATATACAAATAAATTTGTTTTCTGATTTTAATAAATATTTTTACATTTTGTGTATAAGTTTAATGATGCAATATAATATTATACAATTTCGAAAATCTGTGAAACATTTTAATGGTGTCGTCAAATATTTTTAAAATCAATATTTGTATATGATACTTTTTTTGGACAAAGAAAAGTTTAAAATTATCATAACTATGCCAAAAATTCATTAATTTCAAATCGGAAAGTTGTTATATTCTAGTTTTTATTAGGTTTATAAATCTGCATACTCAATTTAAAAATTAACATATTTGTCAATTTTTGAAAGTTTTAAAGATGTAACACCTTTTAAAATTTTGAAGAAATTTGTAATTTTTTTTTTACCTGAGATGGCTAGTCTAACTCGGCTGTTGATGCTGATCAAGAATGTATGTATATGATTTATAAGGTCGGAAATGACTCCTTCAACGCCTTGCAAGCTTAAGACTAAAATTATAATACCGTGCAAACTTCCTAAGCGACCCTCGGTGCCGCTTTCAAGTTTTTTGAGTGTAATCAGCTCCCTCTCCCTCACTCTTTCTCGGTGTTCTTGTCGTCTCTTTCCATTTCGAACCAGAGAACACACACTGAACTGAACACAAATTAAACCAAGTTTTCCCAATAGACATATCCATATCAATCTTTATCAAGGAGTTGAAAACTTGTATTCTTATTATTTTATTTTCTCTTAAATGAGTGTACCAATGTGAACCACAGAAATGAATTCTTTTCCACTTGCTAACGTTATCAGTAAAAACTTAAAACAAGAGAGGAAGCTAACTTCGGCATGCAGATAGATTCTAGATTAATATATAATGGCTATATATCAAATTTGATGAGAAACTGTTGAAAACTGGAAAAGTTATAATTCTTTTTCTTAAAATATCTGATCGTTCCTATGGCAGCTATATATATGTACGTATATATATAGTCCACCGATTCGCCATGCTCCTCCGTCTTATATACTAGTAAAATTATATAGACAAATAACTCCACAGTTTTATTCAAAAAGCTTGCTTTTAAATTTGCTCCAAAACAAGTCTCGCACATCTGTGCTTATGATTCCCAACTAGTTCAAACATCCCCGGAACGAAGTGACTGCTGCCGGCCACGTCTTAGAAATGTGTTGTGTTACAAAAGTTGCAAGTCATTGTTTATTAGTGTTCAAAGTTAGTAACTGATCATACACATTTACTGGTCATAGATACTTACTGATTATAGTTACTTAATGTTCATAGAAACTTACTGATGATAGTTAATTACTGGTCATAACTAATTACTGGTCATAGCCAATTACTGAACAAAGTTAATTACTGATCATATTTCTATAAATCGTCCGATTGTTCTTATGTCAGCTATATACATATATAGTCCACCGATTCGCCATGCTCCGACATATATACTAGTTCCATTCAAATAGCTTGCTTTAAATTTGTTCCAAAACAAATTTCGCACATCTGTACATATGATTCCCAACTTGTTCTAACATCCCCGGAACGAAGTGACTGCTGCCGGCCACGTCTTAGAAATGTGTTGTGTTACAAAAGTTGCAAGTCATTGTTTATTAGTGTTCAAATAAGTAACTGATTATACTTACGTACTGGTCATAGATACTTGCTGTTCATAGATACTTGCTGTTCATAGATACTTCCTTGTCAAAGTTAATAAGTGATCATAGCTACTTACTCTTCATTAGTACTTACTGATCAAAGTTAATTAAGTTACTTATCATAGTTTCTCAATGTTCATAGATATTTATTGATCACAGTTAATTACTGATTATATTTCTATAAATCGTCCGATTGTTCCTATGCCAGCTATATATATGTATATATATAGTTCACCGATTCACCATGCTCCGATTTATATTTTAGTAAAATTATATAGAAGAATAATTCCATAGTTTCATTCAAATAGCTTTCTCATAATTTCACTTCAAAACAAATCTAGCACATCTGTACATATGATTCCCAACTTGTTCAAACATCCTCGGAACGAAGTGACTGCTGCCGGCCAAGTCCTAGAAATGTGTTGTGTTACAAAAGTTGCAAGTCATTGTTTATTAGTGTTCAAATAAGCAACTGATTATACTTACGTACTGGTCATAGATACTTGCTGTTCATAGATACTTCCTTGTCAAAGGTAATTAGTGATCATAGCTACTACTCTTCATTAGTACTTACTGATCAAAGTTAATTAAGTTACTTATCATAGTTACTCAATGTTCATATATATTTATTGATCACAGGTAATTACTGATTATATTTCTATAAATCGTCCGATTGTTCCTATGCCAGCTATATATATCTATATATATAGTCCACCGATTCGCCATGCTCGGACTTATATTTTAGTAAAATTATATAGAAGAATACTTCCATAGTTTCATTCAAATAGCTTTCTCATAATTTCGATTCAAAACAAATCTCGCACATCTGTACATATGATTCCCAACTTGTTCAAACATCCTCGGAACGAAGTGACTGCTGCCGGCCAAGTCCTAGAAATGTGTTGTGTTACAAAAGTTGCAAGTCATTGTTTATTAGTGTTCAAATAAGCAACTGATTATACTTACGTACTGGTCATAGATACTTGCTGTTCATAGATACTTCCTTGTCAAAGGTAATTAGTGATCATAGCTACTACTCTTCATTAGTACTTACTGATCAAAGTTAATTAAGTTACTTATCATAGTTACTCAATGTTCATATATATTTATTGATCACAGGTAATTACTGATTATATTTCTATAAATCGTCCGATTGTTCCTATGCCAGCTATATATATCTATATATATAGTCCACCGATTCGCCATGCTCGGACTTATATTTTAGTAAAATTATATAGAAGAATACTTCCATAGTTTCATTCAAATAGCTTTCTCATAATTTCGATTCAAAACAAATCTCGCACATCTGTACATATGATTCCCAACTTGTTCAAACATCCTCGGAACGAAGTGACTGCTGCCGGCCAAGTCTTAGAAATGTGTTGTTACAAAAGTTGCAAGTCATTGTTTATTAGTGTTCAAATAAGTAACTGATTATACTTACGTTCTGGTCATAGGTAATTGCTGTTCATAGATACTTCCTTGTCAAAGTTAATTAGTGATCATAGCTACTTACTCTTCATTGGTACTTACTGATCAAAGTTAATTAAGTTACTTTTCATAGTTTCTTAATGTTCATAGGTATTTATTGATCACAGTTAATTACTGATTATATTTCTATAAATCGTCCGATTGCTCCTATGCCAGCTATATATATAGTCTACCGATTCGCCATGCTCCGACTTATATTTTAGTAAAATTATATAGAAGAATAATTCCATAGTTTCATTCAAATAGCTTTCTCATAATTTCGATCCAAAACAAATCTCGCACATCTGTACATATGATTCCCAACTTGTTCAAACATCCTCGGAACGAAGTGACTGCTGCCGGCCAAGTCTCAGATATGTATTGTGATACAAAAGTTGCAAGTCATTCTTTATTAGTGCTCAAAGTTAGTAAGTGGTCATACATACTTACTTACTCTTCATTGACACTTACTGATCATAGTTACTTACCGGTTATAGTTAATTACAGATCATAGTTATCATAGTTCTGACTGAAATTTTAATACCCTGCAAGGGTATAAATTTATACAGCACTTGAAACAAATAAAAACTACTATGAAAGCCACAATTTAATTGGCAGCTGTTGAGGCCCTTTGTGTGCTTTCCCCTCAGTCCGCTCTTTTCCTTACCCTTGATGTTATATTTTCTATCGTTTACCATACATTAGAAGCTCGCAAGAAAAGGTCAATGAGGATTACCATTTGGGCAAAACGTTTGGTTAGCTTTTATTTTGGGTGCAGAGTATAAACTATGACAAAATTTCGCCTAATAAATATATAGAGCTTACTTTTTGGGCTGCCCGATAAAGAGTCCAGAGACTAGTATCTAGGTTATCTGGATTAAAAGAGAATCACTAAACCCTTCGTCAGGGTCAGGGACTCGGACAGGACACAACTCTGGACAGATTCCGACTCTATAGATCGGGGACACGTATACAATTTTGGTATAGCTGTTTTTCGGATATATATCGCATTCGAAATCGGGCCAAATTGGTTGCTCAGAACTAGGTGGTATTGCTTACGATATATAAATAACTCTGCTGCCTTGCAAGCAAAAGGAATTTCGGTCTCTGGATCACTAGCGATGGAGTATTTGGAAAGCAATAATAATAATAATAAAAACAAAAAGAAACACGTAATTATGAAAAATTTAAGGTAGGCATAGTAAGGTAAACAATTAGCAATGCGAATGTTTCGGGACACTGGGAAGGACTAGATAACAAGTACAGCACGCGGAGTGTGTGTGTTTGGGTGTGCAGCCTACAAATAAGGACAACAAGAGGATACACGCTTAGCACTCTTCCGGTTTAACCACAGGAGTATTTCAAAAAGGGACCAAGTATAAAATAGCATCGTTGTCCGTCTTAGCGCGTCTCTTTGGTGTCCACCAGCTCCACCAAGGGCGGCATTGGTTCGACCTCGGCGCTTTGGCTGCGGCTTCGGCTACCGCTTTGGCTCGGGCTCGGGCTGGGGCTGATATTTGGACTGGAGCTGGAGCCAGGGCTGGGACTCTCCCTCGCTTGCGGTGATGGCGGGGATACGGCAGGACTTAGCGGTGTTGGTAGCGATGGTGGCGGTGGCAAGCCAGTCACTTCGACTGCTGATGCTTTGTCCTTGGTCGGATTAGGATTTGGCTTGGTTGGCTTGGGAGACTGCGTTGTCTGTGGCGGCCAGTGAGTGGACTTGAGAATTCCGTTTTGGCTGCTGGTAGAAGCGGCAGATGATGAGGAAGCAGCGCTAGCTGCTAGGGCAAGCATAGATGAGGCCGAAGTAGAGGCAATGTTGTCATCCATGTGCTTTCCCGCCTTCTCCCCATCGCGTTCCTTATCCTTGGTCTTCTCTAGCTCCTTTTCCATCTCCGAAATCTTCTTTAAATAGCCCTTGTCCTGCGTGGGGCATTCGAGGTGGACACAATGGAAGATCTGTAAGCAGGTTTGATTACGATTAGGTTCTCTAATCCCTGAAATAGAGTTCTAGAACTAAGGCATACCTCATTCGCCGTGTTGCGCGTGCCCACGATGCGGATAAAGACAACGGGACGTGGTGTAAAGTGAAAATTCTGCCAAGAGCGTGCCTTGTCGTTGCGTCGATCCACCACCATTTGCCAGTCCTTGCGGTTTGTCGAAGTCTCAATATAAAAGCTGTATGTGCGATCGTCACAGTCCCACAGCAGCAACCGCATCGAACCAACATGGTAGGGCTGGCCCAGGCGGACCACAATCTCGCCGCTGCCCAGCTGGTGGCATGTATAACCCGAGTCCCAATCGTAGCGCACATAGTCGCCGTTGATCAGGGCATTCCGGGTGCGGCTAACGCCGTCTGTCACAATGGCGCTCATTTCGATGGTGGCCACATTTGCCTTGGGGGCCACAAAATGATCGATCAGGCGCGGCACCTTAGCCGTATGCATGGCCTCCAGACCCACCACATGGAATACCTGCAAAATTATAAAAGTTTAGTAAGAATTACTGTGTTTTTGGCCAATATGTGCCTCTGCTTACCCTGTTCACCGTGTTCTGTGTGCCCACGAGGCGGATAAAGCGCACAGGACGCGCAGCAAAGTAAAGATATTGCCAGGAGCGGCAATGGTACTCGCTGTAGTCTACCACACGGTCCCAGTGCTGCTGGTCGCCAGATACCTCCACAAAGTAGGAGTACGCCCTGCTATCGCTGTCCCAAAGCAGCATGCGGATGTGATTAATCATGCATAGGGTGCCCAGCTCGACCACAATGCCGGCGTCATTGGCATCTGTGATGCAGTGCCGCGTATAGCCGTGCTCCATATCGTAGGAGGTGACGTCGCCGTCCAACAGGGCGCTGCGGCACTCACCCTGAATGCAACGCGACATGTACTTGGCGGTGGCCACGTTCTCCTCTGGCCACAGGGCCGCCCTATAAGGCAGAGTTTTCGAGGTGCTGCGCTCGCCGATGGCATCCAGAATTTTGTCCGGTTCCAGGATGCCCGAGGGTCGCACCACCTGTAGCAAATGCTCTAAGTTCATGAGCGGCAGGCGCACAAAGCTAACCACCGACTTGATGTCTACATTGGGGTTGTACCGGCTCCACTTCCACACGGCCAGGAAGATTTGTACTTCCTGAGCGAAGAAGCAGTCGCGTCGCAGCACCTCCTCGAGCGATTCCTGACAATGATAGAGCAAGAGAGACTGTTAGGGAGCAGTGGGAATACTTAGATTACGTTGACGACTCACCTTAGACAGCATTTTGAAAGAGTCATGCTGCAGCAGCTCCGCCGCATTACGGTCCATGAACATGAGGCAGACCTGCGTCAGCTCTTCCAGGTTATAGAGTCGAGCGGCGTCCAGGATCATGCAGACGTTGTTGAGGTCCAAATACTGGCGCAGATATTTAGAGATAGCCATTTCCAGGTCCTGGAAACCATATTGATTGGCCATGCCCAGTACATCGATAATGGCGTCCTCGTCTAGGTTAGACAGCAGCAGCGTGCCCGAGTAGATGTAGCGCAGAAGCACCTTAAACGGATCCAACGGCACCTCCAGCGGTATCTGTCGCTGTGTTGTCTCCGACATGCCGCCGTAGAGCAGCGCCCGAAAGTATTCGCTGCGGGCAGCGAGAACAACTCGGTGTGCGGGCAGGCGTTGCTCCTCCACAACGAACTCCACGTCCGCATAACGCTCGTTCATGCACAGACGCGCCATGTCCGCGGAGAAGCGCTCACCCAGGTCGATCTCGTCGGGAAGCCCCTCTCCCTCCGCTCCTCCCGATGCCTTGCCCGAAGAGCCCTGCGATCCACCGCCGCCGGCCAGGCCGTTGCATCCCTGCATCTTGTGGTGTCCCTGGCTGCTCATTTTTCTGAGCTCGCAACGCGGTGTGTGTGCGTGTGTGAGTGTATGTTTTGTTGTGCAACTGAAAAGAACAATTACAGCCTCAGCTTCGGGCTGCGGAACAAACGAAATGACGCCGCAACCGCCTCCGCAAATGCAAATGCGAATGCTGTTGCTTCTGAGGTATGGGGCACTGTAGATCCTCTGTCGCTAGTCCCGGGCACCTTGGCTGTATACACTTCCGCAGTTGTTAACGCCGGACAACGGTTTATTTACGCATTTTTTACGGAAATTCTATAGGAACAACCGCAAATGTTTTTTTTTTTTTTTATTTTATTTTATTTGTGAGAGCCAGTGTGGCTGTAATCGTAGTTTGGCGAAAATTCCAGTAGAAAGTGCAATGTTAACTTGTCAGGTGTAAACTATACACTGTTAAGCGTGTCAAACTTTACATGTTCTGAAAATGTTAGCGAGTTAACAGCTTGTTGTTCTTTTGCGGGAAGTTTAAACATTCTTAAATCAAAGCATGCCCCGCTCCAACTGCCACTTTTAAGGCAAAGTAAGTTGTAATGTAAAATAGCCTCCTAAACATAATTCATTATCACTCTGAATCTCAAGCTGATAACATTAGAATTTTGCAATAATAAGTTTATTTTGCTTGTCCTTTTGTAAATCTGTAGAAAACATTCCAATTTTCAAGCGAACAAAATTAATCGTTTTTTAAAACCAAACTTTCGTTTTCTCCGGTCAAAAATTTATTCGTTCTTTGTAATCTCTGGAAAACAGATTCGTATTCTCTCGTGAAAAAAATTGTCAAAATCTCTAGTGAAATTTGTAGTTGCACTATTTTTTGGCATATACGAGGGACTCGGGTGCAGCATGGAAAGAATGCTTAACCTGAAGAAGCCCGAGCAGGGAACTGGACTACAGGTTTTTCTGCGCCTGCGTCCCCCTCACAGACAAACCGTCAGCACATCTTACACGGTTAACAAGGACGGAAACGAGCTCATCACCAAAAGCGTGAAGTATCGTTTAGAGAAACATTTTGGTTTCACCTCCATCTTTGACAGCTCGGTGGACCAGCGTGAGGTGTACGAGAGGTGCGTGGGCCCCCTTATCGATGCGGAAGAGGGTTTGACCATTATGATGTATGGAACCTCGGGTTCTGGAAAAACGTACACCTTGCTGGGTAAGGAGTCTTCTAATAGTCTAGCCTAATTAATTCTGATAAATCCCAATCAGGCAACGATGAGAGCATCGGCATTATTCCCCGTGCCTTGAACCACCTATTCACAAATTGTCGTGACCGCATTCAGCACATTCCCATAGTGAAGTTGATCAGAGGCAACATTACCGCTCTACAGGATTATGCTTCACAGAAGGAGCTTCAAGTTGGACAGAACGTTCTCGATCAGTGCCCCGCATTAGATAGCACTACCTCTTTTGAGGACCTTGGCAAGGTTCGTGAAAAGAAGGAAGATGGGGATGAAGTTGTTTTTTTCTATATCTCCTTTATGGAAATTCACAACGAGGTGGTGTACGATCTGCTAGCCATGCCATCCCAACGGTTCAGGAAATTGAACGTCGTTTACAACAAAGGCGAGGTGTTCGTCGAAGGGCTGTCCAGTGTTTTTGTTACAAACGTGGAGGATGCCCTGCGTCTGCTCCAACTGGGTCGGCAGCGTTCCACCTGCGCCGCCACACCGGTGAACGATCGTTCCAGTCGGTCCCATTGCGTTTTTACCTTAGACATGCTAAAGTTCAACCGCTCCGGTTTTACCACTCGGGCCGCTTTTAAATTCTGCGATTTGGCCGGTTCAGAGCGTGTGCGTACCACGGACAGCACCGGTGAGCGCTTGGAGGAGACGAAGAACATTAACACATCGTTAATGGTGCTGGGCCGTTGTCTTGACGCAGCCTGTAGCTTGAGTCAAGGGAGCAAACATGTGGTTATTCCCCATCGGGAATCTAAACTGACGTTGCTGCTCCATGCTGCCCTGTTGGGCAAGGAGAAACTTATTATGATGGTTGCTCTTCAACCGGTTGACAATTTTTATGAGGAGAACCAGAATGTTCTCAACTTTGCAGCCATAGCTAAAAACATTGTGTTCCCTGAGGCGGTGACCAAGCAGCAAGTAGTTAGCAATTGCACAGGCCCCTTGGAGCTTGCCATAGTGCCAGTCGTCAGCAGGGATGAGGTTCTTAAGCAATTGGAAGAGGAGCACTTGCTTTTGGTAGAACGTGTAGCCAGTTTGAAAGCCCAGCAGGCGATTCACTTGCAGGCGCTGATGGAGTGTAAAGAGTTTTGCAAGAAAGAGCTGATTTGCGCTTATCTGGAAGTTCGTTTCGAGGCAGCCGCATTAAGGCGGCAACTGGAAAGCGAAATCAATGCTCTGATGAAAAGGTGTGAAAACCTAATGAGGCAAAATAACTCTAGCTCCGACCAGGATATTGAGTAATTTGATCGACTAGTTTGTGAAGTTTTAAAATTGTATGATGTTTGGGCCATCTGAATACATTTTGTATTTTGGCGAATAATTTCGTAATAATCAGTCGCAGTATTTCGTACTTTTTTGCGTTTTCTATTGGTTTCTGAGATAAAACAGGGAAAAACTGAGCAACTGTGGAAATTTGAATCAAAAGATTTTTAACAGTTCCGTTAACGAACGTGGTGTTGCCAGATCGTCTTGAAATGACTCTGTTAACTAACATATCTTCACACTCTTCATTACTTTATATTTTCTTCAAACAAACATTCCAAAAATATTCATAGAAAATGCGGGGAAAATATTTTAACTAACATAGTCTCAATAAATTCTTTGGCTTAAACCTAAACATTATACGAATATGAATTGTGTTAACATTGTTTACAGTTAAAGTTAACATTATATTGAGTCTTAGCACTGTTGACAGTCATAGTTAACATAAAAGCCTCAACAGCCACTGTTTGCCTTAACAGTTCCTCTTACAGCGGCAAATTCAAAACTTAACATTAACAGTCCGCTGTTAAGCCGCTGGCAGCGTAAGCGTCTTTCGAATTGAACTTTGCCAGCATAAAACAGTTCGTCTCTGGCACTTGATAAAAGCACGCGGCTCTGATAAGAAGAGTGCATAGCCTCTGATAAGCATCAACCGAACGAACTTTTGGCGCGCATTTTGCTCGGTGTTTAAGTATAGCTCCGTTATTCTTGTTTTTTTTTTGCAAGTGTTCGCGTAAAAGTTTTAGTTCTTCCTCTCTTTTGCCTAGAGTAATAGTGAGTTTGTGTGTGTCTGTGAGTGAGTGGATAATTGCAGGGCGCACTTGCAATATTCATGGGACAAGTGCAGCGACAACGGTCTGAATAATTCAAGAAACTACCAATAGAGCAGCCAGTTTGTCGCCGAAAGAATAGGAGAGCGGAGAGGAGAAGGTGCAAGGAGAGGAGGGCGGCCGAAGCGGTACAAATGAACATGTAAAGCGGAATCGTAGCCGAGAAAAAAATGGCAGCGAGCAGCAACAAGCTCCGGTACAGGTACCGTTACAAGTGCAAATCCCACAGCGCCGCCGGCACGCTAGAATGCATCCTGCACCTAGTCCTGTTCACCACAGGTGAGTGATTGGGCCAAGAGCGTACTGAGAAATATCTATTCAAATTTATTTACTTTGCTTACTTCTGGGAGTTTATTATGGATTCTTATTGGGAAGATTTACGTTTAACAAATGATTAATAAATAAATATGAATACATTATTGTACCCTTGCAAGGGTATTATAATTTCAGTCAAAAGCTTGCTATCATGCAAAGGAGTCATTTCCGACCCTATACAGCATATATATTCTTGACCAGCATCAAAAGCCGAATCGATCTAGTCATCTCAGGCAGAAAAAATATATTTTTTTAAATTAAAAAAAATATATAAGGGGTTGCACCGTCAAAATTGTCAAATAAATGGCAAAAAGGTGTATTTTTTTTTAATTCTAAATTGAGTATGCTGATGTATTAACCTATTAAAAACTAGCATACATATAACAGCTTTTCAAACTGAAATTAATGCATTTTTGGATAAGTTATGAGTTTTTTAAACTTTGACTTGTTTAAAAAATTGTCATATAAAAGTCGCTATAAAAATCGGTTCCAAGAATGCGAATATTTTGGAATTAGTTATTATACAAGTTAGTGTCCTTTGTTGTTCAGATAAATAACTTCTGGTTTCTGAAGTATTAAAATTGTAAAGGCTATTATCAGAAAATTGTTTACAAATTTTCTTAAATTTTTTTTGATAAATATCAGCAAAGAAAATGACAAGCAATGGGTTCTTTTATTTCACTATTATTTCCTTTGTTTATATCATATTTCCCTATACATGTTTTAATTAGTTTAGTTTAGAGCTTATGTTTTAAATTAATATGTACTAAGAACGATTGGAGTAGTAACTATTAATTGAAAACTTAACACCTAACGAAACTAATTAAAAAGTATAATAAGTAAATAGAGGAATAGAAGATTTGGGCAAAGGAATTCTCTTGTTTATGGAATTCTGATTCAGCTGGTGGTTTAAAAACAAAATGTAGCTTTTTATTTATTAATGTATAATATATTAATTCGTTCCATTACATATTTTAACGTTTAAAGGTTCGATTTTCCTTTGGAGTTCGAGCTGAAAAGGCTCAACATTATTTTGGTTTTTACACAAATACCATTCAAGATGTTTTACTTGGCGTACAGGTGTTCTTGTTTACCAAAAGGTAATCTTTGCTTCTCCTTCATCGAGTCTTTAAGTGCACAGAGAAAAAAATATTCTATTACAAATTTGTAAATTGTAAAATAAACCTAATTGTTTATTTTCTGTTGGGACTTTTTTAAAGAAAAAAAATATACAACAATTTTAATAATTATGTTAGGAGTTTTATATCAAGTTATTTCCCAGGAACTATAGATTCTTTTTTTTTTGTGTTTATGGCACTGAATTAAATGTTTTATTGGAATCTAGAAAGAGAAAGCTATATGTACTCCCTCTCAAGTTTTTGATAAGAACTCTGATTAAAGTAGTTTTTAGTGCAGTGTCACAGTTTCTTTCCTTGTCCAAAATTAAGTAATTAGTGTCCAAAAATTCGAAAAAGTTCTTATGGAATGGCTTTGACTTTCTAATTTTCCCGCTGTGCACATGCAATACCCTCGGGGGGTGACCGACCTACGGAACGACGAAAAAGTGGGGTTCCCCCCGAAAAAATGCCCCGGCGAGGCTGGCCAACGCGGCGTATGCGTAATTTATGGGCCTGCTCCCATTGCATTCCGCTGCCATTGCGGGCTATAACGGTACTTAACGAAATTAAAATGCGAGCCGCTCTCCATTTACTCTCCGTCCGCCCCCCCTCGACCGCCTTGTCCGGTCCTGGCGGTGGAGTTAATGCGGGAAATGAACAGCAGCAGCAGCAGCTAAAGGAAAAACTTTATTATTATCATAGAATTCTTGGAATTGGGGAAAAACAGGCGGAAAACTGTTCTGTTCTGCCTCAGTTTTCCCACCTTCCACCGCTGGCAGTCAAGCGAAAGAAAACTGCAGCAGGCAAAGGAATAATCTGGTCAACTAATCTTTACAAAAAGTGTAAAAAGAAAATTAGACAAAGAAAGCTAAGAGAGAGATAACTTTTTTCAGCCTCCGCTGCATTTTCAATTATCTCAATTTTATAAATTATAAGCTGACCTATAAGTGACTCGGACTTTAACTCTTACGAAAAACTATATCTTAAGGTAGTTAACAGGCTCAACTGTCTTAAGTAAAGAAAAGGCAAACACATCCTTATACTTAAAGTTAAATCATTTATTATTTAACAAGAGCATCTTGACAAACTCCTTAAGATCAGTTATTGTTTTAAACCTTTTATCACCATTAATATCATATAATAAAACTGCTTTAAAAAGGAGGTCAGGCAGGAAAACTTAATCATTGAAATAGGGTGAAATATTCAATTAAAAATCACTTAATAATTTATTATAATGCCTTATTATAGCACCTAATAGTTGTTAAGGTTTTAGGTTGCGTTTATCCACAAATCGAATCATTTCGTCAGTCACTTATTTGTTTCTATCCTGGGGCCCTGGGTTCGCTTCATCCTCAGCTCCATCCCCATCGTCATCCCTCATCTGACATCCCTTATCCCACCTGGTATTTTGTTATTCCAAACATTCCAAAAATAGTCGCAAATCGCAGTTAAGAAATCTCATCACTCGGCCTAAGCGCGTGCCACAATGAAAATAAAAGCATCTAAACCGAAACCGATACTAGACAACGTGGGGCAGACTTGCCTGGGGGCACTTTGGGTCAGCACTGGAAGAAAACTGGGGTTTGTTGAGAGAAAAGATTCCATTATTAAAGCTTATGCATATATTTTAATGGTTAATGCAATGGGAGAATGGGGAGAGGGAGAAAGTCCTTGTACTCTCTACCTTGTACAAGGTAGCACTGCCTTTCTATTTTCTTCATAAAGATGTCCTTTTAATCTTGAAATATCTATCCATCTATCTATCTATCTATCTATCTATCTATATATATAACTATCTTTCTATATACCTATTTATCGAATTATCTATCTATATCATAGGATGCTTTAGTATTCTCTGAATATTTCGGCCTTGATTGACTTGAAAATATCCCCAATTTCCGTCTTTCTGCTTGACTTTTCTCTAACTGCACTGACGATGGCAATGATTGGATTGGTTAGCAGTTCACCTGGTGGTAACCTCGGCTCCCAGTTGGCCCCAGGACTACTTTAGTCCCTGGTCTCCGGTCTCGGGACCTGTCTTAACTGGCTTACGTGGCGACTCTCTACGGGCTCCCTCTGGGCTGTCACAAAAGGGCCTGCCTCAGACATGGGATACAGACACAACAGATCCATCCAGTCCGACGCAATATGGCGACACTAATCTGAGATTGTCAACCACCCCCCCTTTGAGCCTTCCTTTTGGCCAACGTGCTCCTGCCACCCCTTTTTCCCTGTTCATGTTTGCGTTTGCAGCTGATTAGACGGCAGTGACACTCCATTTAACTGTCAGAGGCAGCCCCAGAGCCAGTTACCTGCGAAAAGGGCAAGCGAGAGTAAGCCGGTAAGCGGTAGTAACTGTGCAATAGATACACTGAGACAAAGTTACAATCATTAATTGGAAGAAAATAGGAGCCACAGGAGCTTAAAAGTGTAGGGAAAAGAACAACAAAGTTTGAGTGATCTTTTCTGCTTCCAGTCACCTTTTTAAGGGATCTTTATTTACTAAGAAAATACTCCCAGTATTAATATAATTATTATTTAAGATTAACAAATTATGGAAATGTAATTCTAGGACATTTCTTTGTGTGTAGTTGCATAGGGATCTTGCGTCACGAACTGGCAACAATTACTCAACTCATCCATACTTCTAGCCAACCATTTATCCATTCGTAATATTTCCAATTATATAAGCTGTTATGGGAAACATTGAAAAGATTTCCATCGCATTGGCAAGTGGAAAAGTGGGAAAAGCCA